TACAAGGCGAGCTCGTAGACCATTCATCAGTCACTCGGACTCGACCCGATCTAATGACCGACCAGCCAATGAATTCCAATTTCTGCCAATGATTCATGACATAACACGACCAACAGCCCCAACATCTTCGGATCGGGTCCCTGTGGCTTAGAGTTGTTTATGAGCTATCCTCATAACCAAGAGGAGGTCCTGTATTCAAACCGCACTGGTGGATACTAACTGATGGAGAGTCCCAAGAAGGAGACAAGAGTCTACCTACTATCATGGATGACCGACAAGAAGACTGGAAGATCTGGACTTCCCAAAAGGTCTACAGGCGAAAATCAATAATTTGGTAGAATACACAAACAGCAACGACAGGACTTCAAGTGAACGTGGAGGAGACGGAGATGATGAAGATAACTAACCACCACCAAAAAGCAACAACAACCAGTACGAATCACTCACTATGAACGGGAGGAATTTGAAGGAGGCCGCCGCCACTTTCACTTATTTAGGCAGTATGGTTTCAACTACAGACGACAACACAGATGAAGATGTGAAATCATTGTGGGAACCTGCTGTAATCACCGTAGGAATCAAGATTGAGATTTTACAATACTCTACTGTCAAGTGAGTGATTCCATGGTTCAGAGAATTGTCGCGTGCACATAGCATCACAAAAAGCATTTTGCTGCAGGCTTCAAACTTTCACCAACGTCTATCTTTGCTCCATACTTTTGATCAGATGGCTGACCTGACAGGTTAAACAACAATGACCTTTGTCAGTGTCAACCAATCAAAAACCTATCATTCAAAAAATTCACCGAGGGGAATGTGGAGATGCTTTTGGAGACACTCTGGAAATACCGTTGATTGGCATCTCACAACCAAGCTATCCAGTGGAGCCTGAATAGGAAGTGATGAGTTTGGGGTGGTTAGTCCTAGAGTAACATGGCGGTGATGGATAATAATAGCAATAATAATAATAAAACAATAATAATAAGCAGCATAATCAGTTATCTCCGTATATGTTTATCCTTGTAAAGGTGAGTTGGGGAAGAGGATTCATGGTATGAAATGGTTGAAGGCAATCGGTGGGAAGCCCTGAATCTAGCTTTCGTGCTAGTTGGCACTCACCACCAGTCAGTAAGGCGGATCTGCAACCCTGAAGGAAGGAATTCATGTCACCCTTCTGAGACTTGAACTGGCCTCACCCAGTGGCGCCCACAGTCAGAGATAGTACCAGTGAGGCATTCGCGCTGACACTAGTCAGTAACTAGTGTCATGTGTCTAGTCCTCCTATCTTTGGTGCAGATTGAATTCTATCGGTCAGTCAAGTGTGCAATGTGGCCACCACCATCCATCCTAAGTGGCTCGGTATTTATAGTTATTGTATTCTGCTGTTGTTGTCGTTGTAAACAGTATATAATTATGATCTCACTGTTGTTTCTGTTTTCTCTTCTTATTCTCTTTGTATTCAGAGTGTACTCCAGAATATTGACATTGTTTTGACACATTTCTCCAAGAAAATTGAAGCGGAACTAGGTCCTCAACCAACTCAACCACAGGCTGTTATGCAAGTGATACAAAAGCATGCGAACAATACTCAAAGAAGTTGTAATTTAAAGGTAGGTAGGAAGGCCTCTTTTTTGCCCAGCACAGTTTAACTTCTCTGCTCTGCTCTTTTCTTTTCTTTTAAATTAATGAACACATTTTCACTGCCGGTGGTGGTGGTAGTTCAACGGTAGAACGAATCATCACCAACCTCGGACGGGTTTGGAGTTCAATTCCCGTCTGACCCAAACCTTCTCATCACATAAAGCAAGCCTAGAAAAGAAGGAAGGTGGTGGTGCTCGGTTATGAAGCCAGCAACCTCACTCTCCACAAAAGCAAAACCATTACTACAGAAATGCCAAAGCCTGGAGCCTTAAATTCCACTCGAAATGCAGGAAATGAAAAGAAAATGCAATGTTAATAATTATGAAAGGGGCGTTTATCTACGAGCGTTTTTTTGTGTGTGTTGTTGACATCATATCTGAAGTTGAATAGCACTGCGCTATTTCTCACCGTTATTTTTCCCCCGCCGGTGCACACACCCAAACTCCGACCAAAGTACACCATCAATATTTTATCGCATTGTTCAGCATGACATGAAGATGAGAGGGAGGATTATGTCATCCTACAGCTAAACGCTTCAAAATGTCCACCGATGCTCGGTTTTGTGATTCCCATCAAATACTCTTCTCGTCTCTATGATGCATAAGATTTTATTTTGATTGATAAATCACACAGTGGTGTTGTACAGTAATATTTACTGATGACTACGTTTCGAGCACATAATCATATCAAGGCACTACTCACACAACCTTTTGCTTCATTTATATACATTAGTAAAAATTCATTAGATATTTGAATCAATATAAGGTACATTCAGAAATAATAATAATAATATGAGTGTTATCAATCAAATACAATCAGATGGGAAATAAGACGAGTGTTTTTACAGTAAAAATAAGTAACGTGTTAGAATGTTATGATGTGAATTGAATACATTTTAACAGTATTATTTATTATCCTCCTCTGATTTGACTGACTTCTGGTAATAATATCTTCCATATCTCTGGTATTTGCATTGAGTCATTTCTGTTGCATATGTTGTGTTGGGTGTAGACTTGATGAACCAGGCAGGATTCAGTAATCACTCTCTCTCTCTCTCCATCTCCACCTACCTACATTACTTCTTAGAATTTCAAACCTCTCCCACCCTAGTGTGTGTTAATTCATCAGTGCTATTGCTGAGATTTTTTCTAAATTAATTGTCTTGGTGGGGTAAGTCATCCTAACCTTAGCTAAATTCTTATGTTCTGATAATCTCACTACTACTCCTGATCTACTAGTTTGACTGACCTATGTAGTTGACTTAACTGACTCACAGTGATTACAAGGTTGGTCCAGTGAGACAAAATAATATAATTTACAAAACACCTTGCAGTGACTGTCAGCTCAGCACTACATTGCACTGCATGCATTAACACACAACCACACAATACGATGGGAGAGGGTTAAAATTCTAAGAAGTAATATAGGTAGGTGGAGATGGAGAGAGAGAGAGTGATTACTGAATCCTGCCTGGTTCATCGAGTCTACACCCAACACAACATATGCAACAGAAATGACTCAATGCAAATACCAGAGATATGGAAGATATTATTACCACAAGTCAGTCAAATCAGAGGAGGATAATAAATAATGTTAACATTCTGTTTCAATTCACGTACATTATAACATTCTAACAAGTTACTTATTTTTATTGTAAAAACACTCATCTTATTTCCCATCTGATTGTATTTGATTGATAACAGTCATATTATTATTTCTGAATATACATTACCCTATACTGATTTTTATTCAAATGTCTAATCATTTTAACTCATATATATAAATGAAGTAAAAAGTTGTGTGAATAGTACCTTGATATGATTATGAGCAGTAATAATCTGTGCTCGAAACATGGTCATCAGTTAATATTACTGTATAACACCACTATGTGATTTATCAAAATAAAATCTTATCTATAATGGAGTTATACTCTACCACAATGCCGAAGTTTTATACAAATATTGCAAAATACCATACTCATCATGAGATTGGAAAGTGATTTTTGTTGAGCGTACAAGTTGCCAGACTATTATGCGAACCAAGTGTTGTGCTGAGTTTTGTGTGTATGTGTGTGGGTGGTTAACTTTGTCTGTCTGACTGAAGAAAATAGCTGTAGAGGAGGAGGTGGTCAATCTTTTTTACAGTTTACGACTATTTTGGTTGTAGGTGCTGTTCTCTAAGCTGGAGAGAGTTGATTTTTGAAGCTGTCACTGACCGACGACCCTCTAGACAACATGTCTACAGTGTTAACTAACTTGCATTCCTTTAAAGTGATCGGACAGTGTGCAAACTCACATGATGCTGCTGGTGTCGATCATCTAAGAGTCCTGGGTTCGATACCTGGCTGAGGGAGATGATGGCGGGGGTTCGGGGGTGGATAGGTACCACTGAAAGTAGACTTTTTTTTGTAAACTTAAATGTTTTCTCATACATTTTTCCCCTTAATGAATTTGAACAAAGCAACAACTGCAGTTTTAGCAGAATAAAATGGTACCATATTTTATTTCGTCGCCTTCTCTTCAGCTGCTTACAGGGCAAAGACATTATTAAATGTATCTACAAAAACAGTTTTAACATACTTGCATAGAGTTCATTTTAAACAAAAACTAATCGATCAATATACACATACACTAATAATATATATATATATATATATATATATATATATATATGTGTAATATTGAACACAATTCCGAGCAATAGTAATCATACAAAATGAAAACTTTTCAGTATCTCGCGTTAGGATGAAAAATATCCAGTTAGCAGGATGGGCAAAGAAAGACTGATAACTGCTTCTTTCTGAACGCAAAAATCAGGTTTCAGGCACTTGATGGAAATGGCTTCAGCAAACTTAAGGAGCATTGAACTCTTTTGCTTATTGATAATTTTGAACGACTTTTCGACATCCACCTCATGACCCGTGTCAAGAAGATGCCTGGCGATAGCACTGCTTAAAGCATTTGTTCCCTTTAGACGTAAGCTTTTTGGTATATGTTCAGAAAATCGTAGATATGGCCTTCTTCATTCTGTTCTTCCAATGTAACTGCTCCCGCAGATACATGTAAATTTGTATATACAGTTGGAGTTGTTAACATGAGAAGGATATCCATCGATTTTTGATTGCACCAGAGAGCAAGTTGTTCGATAGACGGGAACGAACTTAGCTGCAGGATAGGCTATGGCTAATGATGTACTCAGCCCCCTGTTGATCATCGCTGAAATGTTTTCTACTATTTTACAACTTTGCAGATACACACACAAGCACACTGATATCATTTTTGTCTCACTTCCTTCTAATTTTTTTTAATTTAAAATTCTATTTCTGTTATTCTCACTGTCTTGTGTTCTGTGTGTGACAGAAATTTCCAGATTTGAAATTCAAGTACGTGGAAGAAGAATCTCCAGATGAATTTTTCATCCCTTACGTATGGTCTGTTGTTCTACGTCAATCTGGCATACACTTCAAATCGAAATCGCTGATGTTATTCACACCTGATCCACATACCACTACTACAATTAATAATAATACAGGTGTTCATGACAACGATGATGAAGCTGGCGACAGCAAGGATGAAGAAGACGATATTGACGACAGCAATCATCATGATAATACTCATAGTAGTTTGAATGGTACTGTGTTGAATAGTAATAATAATAACAACAATGGTAATAATAATAATGGTGCCTCTACACGTGATCAAGTACTTGTTTAAGTTCTTGTGTGAGACAGTACAACATATCTCTGCCTGCCTGTGTGTGCGTTAATTTTTACCCTATGACGATTAAATACTATTCGGGGAGTCGGGTGGATGTATGATTTTCTCTCTCTTCAACAGAGGATCATTATACCTGCATCCATCCATCCCCTTCACACATTTATTATCCAGCTGTCTGTGATCGATTTTTTTTCTGGGACGGGGGGTGGGGGTGGATTTCTCTATTGTTTTCACTTTTGTTTTGTTTTGTTTTTCTAGATTAAGTTGTGTATTCTAGGCGCGTATTTCTTTTTTGTTTTTGTTTCATCTGTTGACTTGTTTGTTCTTCTTTGTTTACTTATTTATTTATTAATTTGGAAACAAAACACATGTGTTCTGAATACCTTTTGTTTTCTGTCTTTCTTCTAAATTATTTTACTTGGATGAAATTGACATAGAGACTAGAAGTTGTATTGCAATTGTTGTACTATAATAGTAGTAGTAGTAGTAGTAGTAGTGTAACGACAGAAGACAAGGGCCAGGCAACAGATCCTTTATTGAGAAAATCAACTGATATTTATAGAATGGACACGGAACAAAGAGAACTCTTTTCGATAAATTCATCATCAGGCTCTACAGTTATATTTACATTATAATGAATGAATGAATGAATTAGTCTTATGAACGACATTAATGTTGTTTAAATAACATCAAATCAATAATATTGATAGATTACAGCTGAATAGCATCAACATAAAATAAGCTGAATGTCAGAAGAATTAGGAAAGATAATAGTACAAATTCATGAGTTTATAGTTTCTACACAGAGTTAGAGCTCTATGCCAGAAGAAGTAATTGAAGATGATTTAGGCATTGTATATGACACTGATCGAAAATAGCTATCCCGAAAAATTTATCAAGAAACACATGACAAAGAAAGCGGAAAAGGACTACTCACTGTCTGTAACCAAGAAGCCACTTTATATACGACTGCAATTCAAGGGCGATATACCAAGTGGGATAGATAACTACGAAGAAATTAAGAAAATCAGTTCAAAAGACTTTTAATGCTGGCGAACTACAAGTATTGTTCTCTACACGACCGATGGTGCTACCTCGATTGAAAGATGAAGTACCTAGACTAGCCACTTCAAATTGTATCTACCAATTCAACTGCGCTTGTGGTGGAGCGAGTTATATTGGCCGTTGCTCTAGGAACTTGATTTTTCGTGCTCGAGAACATCTCCCACTATGGCTAAGTAAAGGTGTAGTGAAAACAATTAACAGCACGATATTGGACTATCTGGTTCAAACCGACCACAAAGCCGGCGTTGAAGAATCGTTCTCTATCATCATCTACCGGGTGCCTAATAAATTGCCAAAATCATCGAAGCACTGCATGCTCCTAACAGCACAGGCTATTGCAATTCGCCTGAAACAACCAGTGCTCTGTGTGCAAAAGAAGAAAGTCCAACCCCTACTACTGTCCTAGCCGGCCTTTAGTAGAAACTATAAACTCATGAATTCGTACTATTATCTTTCATAATTCTTCTGACATTCAGCTTATTTTATGTTGATGCTGTTCAGCTTTAATCTATCAATATTGTTGATTTGATATTATTTAAACAACAGTAATGTTGTTCATAAGACTAATTCATTCACTATAATGTATGTATAACTGTAGAGCCTGATAATGAATTTATCGAAAAGAGTATTCTTTGTTCCGTGTTCATTCTTTTGAAAATATTAATGGGCATTTTTAATCAGTTGATATTTATAGATTTTTATGTACATTATTGTCAGTGGAGAAGCAGTGCCTTCCGATTGGTTGTTTTCTTGCTCAAGGTTATTCTGTACTGCTTGTGATCGATTCTCAGAAAGTTAAGCCATATATCTGCGAATCGCATTTGTTGCACACGTTAAGTCTGCTGTGATTGGTTGGTGAGTTCCTCAAGGTAAAGCTTTGTTATTGTTCTTCTTCTCATGACCCTGTTTCAGGGCGTAACACTGACGTCAATTGTTGTCTACAATTTTTGGCTTGCAGACAGCTCTCACCACAGTGTGCATCGTTGGTTCGACGTTCGGAATGCTATCCAACCACTCTGTCACGTGATCTAGGTTCGACTCCTATATACACTGACGACGCTTACTTGGGCTTCAAGCGGCGGAACATAGGGTTTCAACAACAACAACACATCTCCACTTTGTTCCGTTTTGTTGCGGCGCTTTCTACCTGTCTCCACGATGACTCACAATCTCTTATCTCCTCGTCGAAGTTACCTTCGGACACCTGCCCAATTTATCGTTTTTCTTTCACGTTCGCCAACGATACCCTATGGCTATGTGGTCTATCTGAGTCCAGCGTTGATTTGGTGATGGAGGTCACCAGGTTACGCAATGTCTCTCTTTGTGCCTAAAGTTAGTGCTGACTAGGAACAGATGATTATCTGAGCAAAACTATAGAAGGCGATCACGGTTCGTCGACAGGGAACTCCATACATACCTACCACCTACATACTTCTTAGTCTGGCACAACTTCGCTACTTGGGCATTGAAGTCGCCTGCTAAAACAACTATATCTGAACATTTTGCTTTTTGCAGTAAATTAGACAGTTTCCGGTAGAAGTCATCTTTTAATTCATCCGAACTGCAGTCTGTTGGGGCGTAAGGGGAGACTACGAAAAGGCAACGTCGGGTAGCGCCGTCTTTACTTCTTTTAATGGACCCATTCAGACGAACCGCACACATACGACTATCTACTGGGATCCAGTCAAGAAGTGATTTTTCCGCCCTAACACTTAGTGCTATCCCTACACCTGCGAGTCCTCGTGAGCTAGCTGAGGGGTCTCCCGACACCCTGTAAATGAATTTTGCAGATTCACCTTGTTGATCGGATGAGGTCAAGTGAATGACCACACTCGGGTCTTGTATGCGTGTCTCTGAAACACAACATACATCCATGGCTCTAGATTCCAGAGTTCTTGCTAGTGATGCCTGTTGTCCAATTTGGCAGGTGGTCCTGACGTTAAAAGCTCCTATATGAAGATGGCGACGTGGCTGTGAAAGGCTATCGGTGTTGTTTCTATGGCTCTCATCGTTGTTTGTGGTCGCGGAGTGAAGTGAAGATGACTCACTAGCCTGAAGAATAGTGCTGACTGTAGTAGAGAAGCAAGATGAGGAAGGTGATGTGAGTTAGGGAGAGTGATGCTCAGGTGGGCTTCGTGTGGTTTTGGAAGTGTGTGGGCGGTTGTTACTTCCCGGCTCCCCACACCGTGGAAGTTGGTTGGGTCTTCGGGTACCTGAAATAGAGAAGACGTTAGTGTTGCGTGACCACAGAGCCCAGGGGACAACTGCTTGAGGCCGGTCACACGCGGCCTGTTTTTGTTTGTTTTTTCTTGTTTGGTGTGTCTCAGCAGCATATTTATCACTTCTGCCCTGTGACACGGTAGCAGAAAGCGCGGTCGTTGCTAATCCGAGCCCCGACCGATCCGGCATGATATTTTGTGAGTTTGTTTGAATCATAGTGTTGGATTGGGTAACTGCTTTTTGTCTAACCGCTATCCAAACACCCTTCCTGGCATGGTAGGACCTACAGGAACATAAGTTCCAACCAGTGTAGCTCGTTGGGTCATTGCGATATGCAAGCCCGACCACCACGTCAAGGTAGTAGCTATCGGTCGGTGATCATCTGTTCTACATTATGGAATCACCGAATCGGGAAGTTGTTGGTGTATTACTCTGATAACTATTCAAACTGTCTTCATAACAATCTAGCAATTATCTATGCAAGTAGTTTATTACTCTGTGTGGTTGGTACACGTTAAACATAATAAGAATCTAAAGAAATACAACCAACTGCCCTCATCTAATATATTTAACCTGAATTGCAGTATAAGAATAACAATAACTATGAAACATTGGGTATGTACTGGGTGCTTTTCTTTTCTTTGCCTTCTGAGTGGAGGCCAGAGCTTGACGCCCTAACACTCACCTCTTTGCCGGACTTACGATAGACTAGCAGACTGAGCAGCGAGGTTTAAGACTGCTCCTGTAGGGTATCGAACCCAGGAGCATGTGTGTAGTTAGCGAGCATTCCAGCATTGAACCACTGATTCACTTATATTATTATCATTATTGTTTCCTTTAGTTCCTAGAGGAACATAGGGCTTCAGCCGCATGTCTCCATTGCATTCGGTGCTCTGATAACTTTTTCACCTGGCTCCACCTACCCACATGCTTTCATCTCCTCCTCCATATCACCCTCGCACTGACGACCAACTCGCCGCTTCCCATTCGAGTGATGGCTTGCATTGCGTGTGATGTCACTCACTTGATGGTTTATTTTCTCAGAGGATGGCCAGCCAATCCACCTCCATTTCTTCCTGCAGATTTGTTGCACAATCGGTTCCTAGTTGGCTCGTTCCCAGAGATCCCTCACTATTGCTAATCTTTTCTGAAAATCTCATCTTTAAGTAGTATTGAGCGAAGACAGCTGTTAATGAAGATGTGTAGTTTGTTCGAAGTGGCCTTCGTGACGTGCCAAGTCTCTGATCCGTATAGTGAGTAGCACTGACTGACTTCACATTAGAGTTGGAAATCCGGATCTTATTTTTCATACTGAGTGATGCTGTTGACCTCCACAGACTTGAGAGTAATGAAAGCTTGCCTTGCTCTCCTGATGATCCTCGCCTTGATATCCTGATCAGTTCTGTCCGCCTGTAGTTGAAACGATGCTTCTCATGTAGGTGGAGCAGGTTGTTTCTTTAAGGTTCCTTCCATTTATGCTCATTGTTGTTGCTGTTGGCTAGGAGTCTTCATCACCTCTGTTATCTCTGTGTTCACTGTAGGAAGTCCTATCTTCCCTGGATGCTTCTGCCAATTTGCTGCTTTTCACTTGTATATCTTCAAGTTTGTGGGAAATCAGATATATATCACATCGGCGAAGTCCAGATCGTCCAAGTTTTTTGCGTCGGTCCATTTTATGCGTTTTTCCTCGCTGCTCGTTGTGTTTCTATCGCATTATCCAGTCTACCGCAATCAGGAAAATCATTGGAGATAGTAGGCAGCTAGATTGCCTTACGCCATGCCCAGTGTAACCACCCATGTCAAGGCGGGAGAGAATGCTGATTATGGATTGACATAGGCCATTGAATTTCAACTCAGTAGTTAAATGAGCAAATACCTCACCTTGAAACCTAATGGTACCGGTCTCAAATTCTGGTAGGCACCTCATAGGTGTGAACTGATGGAGAGTACTACCTGGATTTGAAACGACTTTCCAACTCGCTTACTGATCTCTCTGTCATGCAATGAATTATATCTGTCTTAAAGAGATAATATATGTTGTCGATACGGAAGCAAGCAATAGTCATCCAATTGAACATTCGCTCATCTAGGTGTGAGTATGTAACAGAAGTTAAGGCATCAACGAATATATCCCCATAAGCAAAAAAAGACGTGAACAGTGAAGAACATTTTCTTTTTCGACGGTTCATTTTTATAAGCTGTACAATCGTGATTATGCTTAATCAGGAGTTCATAAGACTAATCGGATACTAGTAGAATTTGTCCTCAAAAAACGTATTACGTAATGTAAGCTGTAGGCTAGAAGCAAGCGTTGGCTAGTTGCAAGTTAAAAAAGAGATGGAAGTTGGCGTGACGTAACAAGTGTGAGAAAATGACTGACTAATCAATAAAGTTGTGTTGAGTGGACAAGAACTAGAGGAGAGACGATAAAGTGATTTGATAAAATCTGTATGAAAACACAACGTTATCACATACATTTTTCTTCCCCTTAATGAATCTAAATAAAGCACGAACAACAGTGGTTTTGCAGAATGAAATGGTGCCATCATTTATTTCGTTGGCTTCTCATCACATGCTTATAAGCCAAATTAATTACTAAGTATATCTACAGAAACAATTCTAACATACTTGCACAGAGTTCATTTTAAACAAAAACCAATCAATCAGTATATGTATACAGTATATATATATATATATATATATATATATATATATATATATATATATATATATATATATATATACTATTAAACACTATTCCCGACAATAATGATCATACACACTGGAAACTTTCGACATTACGTAACCAGATGAAAGAGACGTGAAAATATCCAGCTGGCAAAGGAAGATTGATGACTGCTTCTTTCTCAACACATAAATCGGGTTTCAGGCGTTTGATGGAGATCGCTTCGGTAAACCTAAGGAGAATTGAACTCTTTTGTCTAATGATAATTTTGAACGATTTTACGACGTCCACCTCATGACCCGTGTTAAGGAGATACCTGGTGATGGCACTGATTAAAGCATTTGTTCCCTATAGACATAGGCTTTTCTATGCTTGTTCAGAAAATCGTAGATATGCCCTTCCAATGCAACTGTTCCCGCAGATACTTGTAAATTTGTATACACACTTGGAGTTAATATGAGAAGGATATCTATCGATTTTTGATTGCACCAATGAGTAAGTTGTTCCATAGACGGGAACCGACTTAGCTGCAAGATTCGCTCTGTCTAGTGACGTCCTCAATTTTCTGTTGATAATTGCTGTAATCAAGCTGAATACAGATGGGCTTTTTCTCCATTGTGATTTGTTTGACATTTCAGACTTCAGATCTTCCGTACTTGTTAATGAACCTTTGAGGGTAACTGTAGCTTTTCAACATCTTTTTGAGAGACATAAATTCTTCCTCAAATTTCTCTATAGAGCATAATCTCCTAGCTCTGTAGTATATAGTCTTGAGTAGTCCACGTTTAAAGCTATTTGGACAAAAACTATTAAAATGTAAGTATTGTCCTTTTCATGTAGGCTTTCGGTAAATTGACTTCTGAAGACTACTACCATCTTCTAGGTGTTGCATGACAATGTTGCGGAAGTGGAACTTGCCATCATTTTCATGTTCCATAGTAAATTCAATATTGGTATATGCCTCACTGAATAATCTGAGTAGGTGGGAAGCATGATTTTGACTTTTGCACATTACAAATGTGTCATCTGTGAAATATCGACAATAAGAAATTGTTTCGTCGATTGCATGCTTCAACTTTGCTCTTTCAAGGTTGGACATGAATATATATCTGCTAAAACAGGGCTAAGTGGACTGTCCATAGCTACACCATCTACTTGATGGTAAAGAAAGAGTATTGTCAAATTGGAATTGTACATCCATAGTACACATTAGCAGTAGCCGTTTGAATTCCGACTTTGGGAGTAGTAAAGTGATAATAAAATAAGAATGATGAGAATAATAATAAACTTACATAATAAAAAGAAGCAAAATTATTTTTTTGAACAAAGCAACAACTACAGTTTTAGCAGAATAAAATGGTACCATCATTTATTTCGTCGCCTTCTCGTCAACTGCTTACAAGGCGAAGACATTTTTAAATGTATCTATAAAAACAATTTTAACATACTTGCACAGAGTTCATTTTAAACAAAAATCAATCGATCAGTATACGCATACACTAATAATATATACATATATTTATATGTAATATTAAACACAATTCAGAACACATCACTAGCCATAGCCTATCCTGCAGCTAAGCTCATTCCCGTCTTTCGAACAACTTGCTCTCTGGTGTAATCAAAAATCGACAGGTATCCTTTTCATATTAACTCTAACTGTATATACAAATTTATATGTATCTGCAGGAGCAGTTGCGTTGGAAGAACAGAAAGAAGAAGGACATATCTACGATTTTCTGAATATGTACCAAAAAGCTTACGTCTAAAGGGAACATATGCTTTCAACAGTGCCATCGCCAGGCATCTCTTCGACACGGTTCAAAATTATCAATAAGCAAAAGAGCTCAATTCTCTTTAAGTTCGCTGAAGCCATTTCCATCAAGTGCCTGAAACCTGATTTGTGCGTTCAGAAGGAAGCAGCTATCAGTCTTTCTTTGCCCATCCTGGTAACTGGATATTTTTCATCCGAATGTGAGATGCTGAAAAGTCTTCATTTTGTATGATTATTATTGTTTGGAATTGTGTTCAATATTGCATATATATATGTATATATTATTAGTGTATGCGTATACTGATCGATTGATTTTTGTTTAAAATGAACTCTGTGCAAGTATGTTAAAATTGTTTTTATAGATACATTTAATAATGTCTTCGCCTTGTAAGCAGTTGACGAGAAGGCGACGAAATAAATGATGGTACCATTTTATTCTGCTAAAACTGTAGTTCTCGCTTTGTTCAAATTCATTAAGGGGAATAAATGTATGAAATTATTTTTTTGATGTTGTTGTGTTGTCTGAGCTGGATAGTTTATATGCAAAGCTTTCATCGCCCTACTATCATATCATTATAGTGGAAACGTTATTCTGGGCACCGTAGGCCGTGGGAATGTATGCCATGCTTTTGAATGCAGAGGTCCAGTTGCAGATCTCGAATAGCCAATGATTCAGCTATATATACAGATGGCTTATTCGAAGTCTTTCTTACTCGGTGTCCAGAGTTGACAAGTTAATGCAATCAAAGAAATTTTACTGTACTACAAATGAGATGTACAAATGCGAATGTATTTTGCCTATTGTGATTAGTTCAACACCTGAACGACACAGTACACTCGCGCACATACGTATATCAAATTCTATTAGCCGTTTTTAGAAACTGGCTGAGCTTCAACTCTCCACGTAACACACAAAGGCAGAAAAAAAGGACTACAATAAGCAGAAATGTTAGGGAAGTGGAGATTTGTAAAGTGGAGAAACAATAGGGTGTAATGGACATGGAACATGACAAAGAGAGTGAATGCATCTCCATCACCATCGAGGGCGATTTTTATTTTTCTATATTTTGATTACAGCTTGATTCCACACCGTATTTTTGCTACAAGTATGGAATTTTCAGCATATGATATCGGTAGCACAAATTTTTGCAGACTGACCATTGATATCAGGTGTGCATCGGCAGGGGATCGAACCCCGGACCATGTGCATGGTCGACGAGAGTCATAACCACTGTGCCACCGACGCACTGGAGATGGGATTCGAACCCACGCCCTTTCGGACTGGTTACTAGGCTATGAATGACGCTTATTGTGTGACAAATGAAGGCATTATCCGTAGTTGAAGTCAGATTTGAACCCGCGACATATTAGCTGGAAGCCTAGTATTCAGGCTGTCGAAGAGAATGGTGAAATAAATATGTTTAAAATCTTGCCTGTTTCAGACTAATATCACCCTGAGGAGTACAGCCAGGCAACAGCCTACACCTATAACATTTGTATCCGATCACTTGCACTGCTTATCTTAACACTAAATTACAGCAAATCAAAAACTGTCATGTTGTTAACTAACACCCATAGGAGGGAGAAGATGCTCAGATTTCACTCTGTCTATCATATTCCTTCAATTCTTCTCTATTCCTTTAAGTTCTAAGTGGAAAATACGGCTGCAAGTTTCAGTAGTCCTGTAGTTGCTATAACCTCTCCTCTTTACTGGATTTCCTACCGACAAAGTAAAACTAAGGAGTGTGCATCGGTCGGGGATCGAACCCAAGTAGTCACTTGTGCACAGTTGATGACGTACACTTAATACCTTAAACTAGTTTTAAAATAACTGTTACACAACCCTTCACACAGTTTATACATATATGGAGAAAAAGGCAAAAATCATTCAAGGGATTTAGGTATATTTTTGAAACGGTCATTAACAGTTCAACATGCATGCACACATACATACATACATATATACAAACGTACATACACGCTGACATTCAAGAAATTGGGAGAAAAGGAGAAAGAAAGTAAATACCATGCATAAGTCCGACAACATAACTCATTTCATGCTAAACTCTGATTTTACGTAATAATATTTATGTATATTTACATCATCACATATCATAAATAGATTTTTATACCTAAACAAACAAACAAATTAAAAGATTCAGCACATAATCAAAAATTACATACATAACAACAATTGTGATCACATAGAATAGAAAAGTAAGAATTTGAATTTTAAAAAAGCCTATTTCATTTTTCCCGCCAAAAAACGGCGGCACATAAACATCGTAATTGTTTATTTCATTAAAACAAAAACAAAGAGAGATAGAGACTAGAAAGTATCATTTCATTCATTCTTCGATCAATAATAATCATAATTATAATGATAATAGTAATACTAAAATGAAAGCACTCATAGTTAGAAATTGGAAGAGATCATTATAATGGACAGAGAAAAAATTTACAATTTAACAAGGAGAAAACTTTCTTTCGTTATTTCTTGGATTTTATTTTTCGCTTCTTATTCATTAAAGTAGATAAAGGAATGCTGCCTCTTCTTCATCCAATTCAACATTATCTTCACCATCAACATCGACTAAGATACTGCCAGCAGTTCCAGGGTTGGGAAGAGGAACAGCTTTCGATACTATTCCTACTTCTCCTCCGCCTACTTCTCCATAAATGTCTGTTAAATCTGCATGATTACTGAATATTTCTGAACCGGATTCAGTGAAGAATTGATTCATCGGTAACGGTGTACATGGATCAGAGAGATTCAGTACAGGTGGAACGTTATTATTATGATTATTATTAGTTTCTGTAAGAGGATTTTTCCCACTGGCATTGAATTCTTCTCGTCCAGTAACAACAAATCTAAGATAACATATAGAAATAAATTAATAATTTGGAATTTTAGTGTGTACACACACTGGATCAACCGGATCAATAATAGTAATGCAAACACCTAAAATCTGGAAAAAAATGTTTACACAACAAAAAGTATTTTTAGTATGATTTATTGCATAATAATCTATTTTTATAAAAGCTTGGCAAAGTTAAACTTTCGACACCAGTAACAACCAATCAGCAAACGACCTTGAACGGACCAATCACACGAAAGAGGCGTTTATGATAAGTGGAAACGTATATTTATAGAAAAATGCATAAAAAAAGGATAAGACGGTTACAATGGGTGTCTTTTCCGAGCGTGGGACAGAAACATTTCCCAATTCAGCATGGGACTGTCAATAGAGAATTCGCACCACATTCTATACATATATTCATCTAAATGACTAAAAATGAGATCCATTTATAGCCCGTATCCTATTTTTTAATCGACCCCGAAATCCTTCAATGGAATTTGTATGAGTCCCTGTAACTGGATCCACGAAATCACTGGAGTGATTCACTCTGTGATGAATGTATCTCAGGGATGACAATGAATCATAACCTTTCGCCTCGTTGGTATGTTCAATTGATCCGCGCTTCACAAGTCGCGTTATAATAGGTATCAGAGTAGTCGCCTTCCTCTCTGCTATTCTTTCAACAAATCCTTTTCGGAGGGACGTGTCGTATAAACCTATGACCCATATGTTGTTCGCTCTCTGACGACCACGGTTATACTTCTTCACCAACACTGTCTCATCCACATGGACTACTACGTCGTCCCCGCCTAACAACGAAGTAATTCTCTTTTATTTTCTATGAGGCGATGTCTCTGCAGTGCTGGTACCACTGAACTGTTGAGACGAGGCTGTTCTCCGTCTCCGCAGCTGCGGCTCTCACCGGCTGTTTCAGTACCCAGTAAATACAGATGTACAAAATCTGGGTTAAGGAGGGATGGGACCTAGCAAAAAAAATTCCTACGAAATATTGAAATTAGCAGCTTACCCTCTCTAATACTAACTCGCTTCCAGCATATTCCACAACGATGGACAAATCCATCAGTTGACCTGGTATAGCTTTTTACAGTCATTACACCACCACACGAACAACTTCTCTCCTTTCGAAGCAAGCCTAAGTCCAGGCAATACTGAAAGATACTATCCTCCTCGAATTGCAAACGTAACCTTGTAAGGGCACGCATTGGAAATGAATCAAGCGATATACAACATTGAACTACGTTCGTGAATCTCATTGGATAATTCGACATCGTTCGCTGATTGGTAGTTACTGGTATCTAAAGTTTAACTTGGCCAAAAGCTTTTCAAATCAAATGATTAATCGACTGACCATCCGGTCAGTCTACACCCCCCCCTACGCGGCTGGCTAACTCAAACTAACTGCAATAGATTTCAATGACTGAAGCCATGTTTTAGTGTTTGACTACCACTGGCTCTTTTCCAACTTGATGCCACCCTATGTCAGTCAGCTAACATTGACCTTCAAGGAAGGCGATGGCTGTGGGTGAGAGCTGTCTGCTAGCCAAAATTGGTAGACAGTCTTTTACGTCCCATATCTTGGTCATGAGAAATAAAAACGAAAGAACAAAGACCAACTCAACAACCAATCACAGCAGACTTTGCGTGGGTGGATACGATTAGCAGATATATATAGTCTGAACTTCAAAGAAACGGCCCCACAAAGAGATGACAAAATAACTTTCAGCGAGAAAACAACCAATCAGAAGACACTGTTTCTCTGCTAACAATAACGAATAATAATGTACATAAAAATATACATAAATATCTCTTGATTTCCTCAATAAACAATCTGTTACCTTGCCCTTGTCTTCTGTCGTTACATGGTTAGACATGCATACGCAACACATGTCCCAACCAGGACAGAGCGAACTGTTGAGAGCAGTACAAACGCTCTTTTGGTCGATAGCCAGATATCACGTCTACTCTATTAAGTTAGAGATAGCGTAAGTTGACGTATGCTAAACAAGCCTTGTATATCCTGTGCTGAAACTTCGTCAGGGATCAACCTGTTGTGCTATCTTCAAGTGATATAGTAAACTATAGTATATTATGTGATGCAGTGTGTTATTCGATTTGTAATATGATCTAGTCCCCTAAGAAATACCTACTGGTAATTTTCATAGCTGAATATAATTGTCCTTGAGTACGTATTTCAACTCAAGGACATCATTGAACCGTTAAAACAATAAGAATTAGAGTAGAACATAAGAGGAAAATATGATGGATGTAATGTGCTGAATGACTGACTGAATAGTTTCAACATAGGACACTTAGCACAAAACTGCACCATTTCAATCCAGTCGACCATACCCCATGAAACAGACAAATGAATACAAAAAACAAACAATAATAAGCAGGAATATGAGGGTAGAAAAATAGTAACATGGAAGAACAATAGGGCATAATATAGATATGGGACATCAAAAAGTGTGAATGCGTCTCCTCCGTCATCATTTGGAACAACTTCGAGCCATATCATCACCAATTGTCTTCGGTCATCCGTCATTGCTTCTTAGAATCCTGGAAACTTTAACCAGGTGTCTGGCTTAAACTGAGCATCAGAGACATCACGAACTGATACCATGTATTCGTTTGACCATCACTAGCTCTTTTCCAAACTGACTATATATATATGCCAGCTAACACTCTCCGTCGAGGAAGGCTAAGTGTATTTACCACACGTATCCTAGCCATCTTGATCCATGCGCGGCTATGCAACCTCATCAGTTGATTTTCCCTCCTAACATAACGCTCGACTGAAACCCAACCTCAATATGACTCAACCTATTATATCGACTAACGTAAGAGATAGAATGAAGATACCTATGGATCAAAGACAGCCAGCTTTTTCATGTCTTCTTTCAGTGACAATGTCTCATAGTCATAAATGCATTAAGTACACAAAAGTAGACTAGAAGAAATGCAGAGTAAACTGTAGTAATCAAGGGAAATGCATAGGAGAAAGAATAATTACGTACAGGATACTGAGAGATTACTCGGTCTGGGAAAACAACATGACGAGTGAATGCATTGGAACCATTGAGCCAAATGTTACCAATTATTTGTCTCCACCCATTGGTTCTTACCATCCCGAGGACCTCAAACAACCAACTAACAAGTCTGCACCTCCCTACGTGACTTAAACTAACTGATGAAGCCATGTTTTCATTTAACCACCACCAACTGGTTCTTCTCCAACCTGATCTATCCTATTTCAGTCAGCTAACGCTGGCCGTCATCGAGGAAGGCGATGGGGCTAGACGTGGATGCGTAATATATATCCTAACCATCTAACCCAATCGATGTAACTTCACAACCTCGTCTTTTGATTTCCCTTTTCTGCTTACCTAGCACTCAACCGAAGCCTAACCACTTCAATGTCACTCACCCTTTTATACCACTTAACACGGGAGACAGAACAGAGACACCTACGATCAAAGTCAGCTAACCTTTTCGTATCTTTCACTTCACATAGCTATATGTCACAGACGTAAAGGAGGACAGAGTGAACTGTTGAGCAGTATACACAAGGTCCTTTGGTCGATAGCCAAACGCATATCAGGTCTATGTCATAGATGGCGTAAGTTGGCGTATGCTAAATAAACATCAATATTGAGATTTTCGTCAGCGATTAAGTCACTCTTACTGGCTGGTGCAGCTTCCCAACTGTGTGAAATGGTCAACACACTCAGCCACCACTTCACTTTTGTCTATCCTTAGGCTAGGAGTCAATGTAGTCCTCCAGTCCTGTAGCCTCATTATCTTACATTTCACAGAAGCACATCGCATGTCAAACATTCAAAGATTCCTGCTCATGGTGTTCAGAAGACTCTGCATTTTGCCAGTGAACATAGAGAAAACACAGATGATGAAGGTAACCAACAACAATAACAACAATGAGCACCAATCATTCCCTAGGAAACAACTACAGGCAATAGAACAAAAGAATATGTTAGAACCAGAAGTGGAAAGGCAAGAAAGACGACCCTCATTACTCTGAAATCAGTTTGAAAATCATCTGTACTCAGCGTGAATAGCGAAATTCAGATTTCCAACACCACTGGTTAAGTCAGTCAGTCAGTTCTTGGTCTACCGTGTCACACGAACAGGCTACTGTAAACTTCCATCAACAACAGCTAGCTGTCTTCACTGGCTCCACATTCTGTAGGTCAGATGGATGGCAAGGAAGAATTAGCAAATAACAAACTGTGGGAAATAGAATCAACCGAGAAGAAGTTATTGCTCAACAAATATGCAGGGGAAAGTGGAGATACATCGGGAACACGCTAAGAGAGACCGTTGGATGACATTGTGCGCCGGGCCCATTGCTCGAGTGTAACCTGTATCGGAAACGATAAGTTGGGCATCGTTTCGAGGGTGATATGAAGAAGATTTTTTTAGGGAAATGGAGCCAGCTAAACAGGAGAAAATGAAGAGATATTCTGTTGAGACTTGGAGGATCTGGACTTCGCCGATGATGATATATGTCTGATTTCCCACAAACTGGGAGATATGCAAGCGAAAAGCAACAAGTTGGCAGAAAAAGCATCAAAGATACGACTTCAGGTGAACATACAGAAAACAGGGGTGATAAAGATTCCTGGACAACACCACCAACAGCAACAACAACAAGAGACAACAATCAGCATAAATGGCAGGAACCTGAAAGAAACAACCTCTTTTACCTACCTGGGAAGCATCGTTTCAACTACAGCCTGACGAGGATATCAAAGCAAGGATCGGGAAAGCAAGACAAGCTTTCATTACTCTCAAGTCTATGTGGAGATAAACAGCACTGCTCAGCATCAAAAATAAGATGTGGATTTTCAACTCCAATGTGAAGTCAGTGCTACTCACTATACGGATCAGGGACTTGGCGCGTCATAAAGAGCATCTCAAACAAACTACAGACCTTCATCAACAGGTGTCTTCGCTCAATAGTTCGCTCAAGATCAGATGGCCGGCCAGAAAAGACCAGCAATAGTGAGGGATCTCTGGCAATGAGCGAACCAACTCAACAGGAACTGAATGTGCAACAAATTAGCAGGAAGAAATGGAGGATTGGCCATACTCTGAGAAAACAAACCATCAATCAAGTGACATCACTAGACAAGCCATTGCTCGAGTGGAACCCGAAAAGGAAGCGGCGAGTTGGTCGTCAGTGCGAAAGTGGGGTGACTTGGAGGAGGTGATGTGAAGAAGAGATGAAAGCATAAGGGCAGACTTGGAGTCAGGTGAAGACTCTAGCAGAGAACCGAACGCAATGGAGACGCACGGCTGAAGCCGTATGTTCCTCTAGGAATAAAAGGAAAAAATAATAATAATCTGTTGAAGCACTATGTTCCACCTGGCACCCATGGGAATAATAATAATAATAGTTATCCTCATAATGATTGTGTCCAACAAAGTTTAATTGGTACAGATAAGTGGACATTGCCAGCACATTACAAGATCGCATAAAATATAAAATGCTAATTGAACACATCAAGAAACAACTGAATCGTAAATGTGAAGTATTGCAGTGAAGCATAGAAAACTTTATGGGCTTGTGCAAACACACACACACACACAAAATAAAACGAAATCTTCTATTCGTCTTTATTCTCTTCAAGTTAGAAATGAGTTTCCTAGTCTTCATATCATGAAGCATGTCTTTAATGACAACAACTTTAGAAACCACTAATACAGCATATGTGGTTACCGAATTGTTATAGAGGAACTAAAGAAACTCTTGAATGAAGTAGTAGCAAAGCACTCTACTGAACTAGAGACAATTTGTGAGATTTTCCGCTGAAATGAATCTCTATTTCACAGTCAGCTGATCCGATCCGATCCAATGGCAAGTCCATGAATTCTAACTCCTGCCAATTCGCGACATAGCGCGACCTTTTCGCAATGTCTTCTTTGATGAGTTACTGCCTCATCTTCAACCTGCTCTACCCTACTGGTCACGGCCTGAATAGGGCCAGTCTCTAGTGAGCATCAGATGAATTTTCAAGTATTGGTTTTGTAAGGATTTTCCTTTGATTGCATCGAGTCTCAGTGGCTCAATGGTCTACGAGCTTGCCTTGCAACCAGAAAGTCCTGGGTTCGAACCTCAGTGGATGCGTACTGCCGAAGAGTCCCAAACTAGGACGAAACAGCTGTCCAGTACTCCCAGGTTTTCCAGTGGTTCTCTAACTAATGTCAGTTCATGATGAAATCCTCCATGCAAAAGGGAATTCCTCTAAAACATGATGATTTTTAAAGACGGTCATCTGTAAGGATCGTGTTACACGCCATATACGACTTTTAGCTGCACTGAGAGATAGAGAGAGAGAGAGATGGGTTCTAGAAGACCTGCTTGGTTACGGAAAATAGCGAACAGTCATAACCCAAGGCAAACTCTTCAGCTGTTATCTGAGAATTATAATGGTAAAACTTTAATGACTTCAATCGGCTCCGAATTTTGATCTATTTAACTACAGCTTCAATTTGATCGATTACTTTTAAGGTATACTGGAGAAGAAAACTCCTACTGACTATATAATATGAAAGTACCATATAATTGACACGGTTAAAGATATATTAAATACGCTAAATTTGATATATCACAGTGGTACAGTAACTTTTTTCTATTCCTTTGCGTTCTCAGTTTAACATGGGGCTAGCCTCATGCCCAACCTCCCCTCTTTGTCGGGATTATAACCGGTTAAGGAAGTTAAGGGAGTGTGTGTTACTCGGCTGAGACTCGAACCCCAGACTACATGCATGATCGGCCAGCAGTCTACTGTTGAACCAGCGCGACACGGTACAGTTATAACATGCAGTTATTAATACTAGATCCACGATGCACTGGACAGTTGTTTCGGCCTACGTTGGGACTCTTCATTGGTGTGTACCTACCGAGATTCAAGTCTAGGACCTCCTCCCCAAAGCTACATTCAGCCATTGTACATCAGTGGAGCACCGTTGGAATGCTCTTCAAACATACATGTGGTCCGGAGTTCGGTCGATGCACTCCTAAATCTCGCTTAGTCACTAGTAACCATGGGAAAGAGAGGAGGAGGTTAGGCGTGAGGCTAGCAACTCCACCCCACAGAAATATAACCAATACTAATGAAACTATTACAAAGCTCTAGCACCAAATGGACTTATATCTGAACCATAGAGTGCCGAGACGGTAAAAAATAACCACATGAATAATATTTTTTTAAATACCATAAATGGAAGACTTAAATATTAGTGGGAGCTTGGGGTGGGTTTTCTTTAAATTAGTCATATAAATATATATATATATATATATATATATATATATGAGATGTGTAGGAAAACTTACCCTGTAGCATTTCCATCAGCGTATATTGACACTGGACCAGGGGCAGCATTCTCTTTTTCTTCTGTTTTATCCTTTAATACATCGAACAGATAATCTGTTTGAGGTTTACATAAAACTGGACTGATTGAAATAGGATTTAAGTAAAATGAAGACTGTAGAGTAGTCGTGTTGGTAGTATAAGTATCAATAGGAGTAGTAGTAGTAGGAGGAGGAGTAGGAGTAGTAGTACTATGAGTAGTGTTCACATGTGTAGTAGTAGTAGGAGGAGGAGCAGCAGCAACAGCGGTAGTCGTAGTGTTAGTATTCGTGGTAGCAGTGCTGTTAGTGATTCTGGCATTGGAAATAGTAGTGGTACCAGTGTCAGTAGTCATAATAGTGGTATTAGTGGCAGTATTATTATTATTACTATTAGACGTTTTATTTGCTTCTAAAAACTCTTGTAATGTCGGCAACTTGTTCAGTACATCATCGAGAAGACGATAGTTCTCAGAATTGTTTGCAAATTGTAAATGATCTGCACAATGAAGATGCTAGAAAGGGAGGAGAGACAGATAAAATACTTTTAGTAATGATAATAATAATTATTATTATTTACAATAATGATGATAATAATAGTAATAGTAATGATCGAATCATTGTGTACATTTAATTCAATTTTAGATTTTCTCGCCGATTGACTGGACCGAAGTACTCGGTCTCAGGTTGACATGTAGGCTTCTTGCGCGGATGCTTCGACGATATCTGAGCATGTAATCACCAATCAACTTGTAATTACCTGCCCAGACATTGTCGAAGCATCAGTACAAGAAGCCGACATGTCAATCTGAGACCGAGAACTTCCATCCAATCAATCGACGGGAAAATCTAAAATTCAATTAAATAATTAATATGACCCGTTGCACAAGAGGTGGCTCTTGTAGCCTAAGTAGTCTAGTGGATAACACTTTGACGTTTGAAACTATGGGGACTAGGTTCGAGCCCCGGTGGGAACATCATCACTCACTGGGGGATGTAGGTACATAAGTGTGGTATAGAAGTGCTACGAAGTTATATGGGAACAGCTTCAACAATACGGAGTAAGTACCCTAAGCCGATTGATGCACACAGCAGAAAACTCATTGAAGCCTTTGAAGTGAACATTGAGAAGATAGAAGTGGTGCAGCAGACGCCTGGCTGCCAAAACATCAACGCGAAAAATCTACAGAAAGTCAACCCTTTCCAACAACTTAAAGAGGTACGGATGAAGATGTCGATCGGAGGAGTGGAACAGCCCTTCACATTAAACTGAAATCAGTTTAGAAATCTACTGCACTCAGATCATCGAACAAGATCTACATTTTCCACTGTATGGTTCAGAGGCTTGGCTCCAAGTCACCAGAGGTATTTCAAACAGACAGCAGACTTTCATCAACAACTGCCGCCGCCTTCGCTCGATGGTAAAGAATAAATGACTGGCTGGAAAGAATAGGGGGAGGCGACAAGGAGCTCTAGCAGCGAGTCGGCCAACAATCTATTGCTAAATAAAATACGCAGATGAGAAACGTGAGTTGGATAGGTCGGGTACACAATCTGAGAAGACAATGGAGTGATATCATACAACACCAAACCACCACCCCACCTCGATTAGAACTGGAATGGAAAGCGATGGAGTGAACATCCAATGTTAACATAGAGGAGATAGTGACAGGGACAAATGAGAGCTAATAGGCGAACTTGGAGCCTGCTGAAAAGGACTGTTGGGAATAGAGTCCTAAGGAATATCTGTTTCTCACGAAAAACTCCAGGGAAGAATATATAATCCTTCTTTATAGCTGTAAGACATGGTCATTGAAAGTGGAGGACATAAAACGCCGGCTATTTACCTGTCTTTGATCATACCTGCATGCGTTCTATCACCCGTGTGAAGTGGTATAATAAGGTGAGCAATATTAAGGTCGTTAGGATTCGGTCGAGTGTGAGGTAAGCAAAGAGGGTGAAGTTACATCGATTGGGTTAGATGGTCAGGGAAATACGTTACGCATCCACGTCTAGTCATCATCTTTCTCGACGACGGGCAATGTAAGCTGATTGACATAAGATGGATCATGTTAAAAAAGAGCTGCTAGTGGCAGTAAAACCAAAACATGGCTTCACCAGTCAATGAAATCCATAGCAGTTAGTTTGAACCAGCCAGCCAGTCACGTAGAGAGGTGTAGACTTGTTGGCTGGTTGGGGTCCTCGGGATGCTAAGCACAAATGGGTGGAGACAGATAATTGGTGATATAGCTCAAAATCCTCGTTCTCAGTGATGGCTAGTGTAGATGCATTCACTCTTTGTGAGTGATTTGTCACATCCAATAAAACTGTATTGATCTTGCATATTACTATTGCTTTTCCCTCACACTATTTATTAAAACTCTCTTTTGATGAATCTCTCATTGTTCTCCTCTCTTACTTTGTGTACTACAAGGAGGGAGTGTGTGTCTAGTTGAACTGTTGCACATCTGTGCAAAGTTCTACGTTGAAACTAGTCAGTCAGTTGAAATCTGACAAAATAAACCATCACATAGAACAGCATAATTCAAAATTCTAATATTACTCAAGTATTAGTTTGTAGGGATTTGGTTGATTGCTTACAGGATTTCATTATGAGCTGACATTGGTTAGAGAACCATTGGAAAGCCTGGGAGTACTGGACAGGTGTTTCGTCCTAGTTTGGGACTCTTCATCGGTACGCATTCTAACTTCTGCCAATTCACGATATAGCGCAACCACTAGCCAATGTCTTCCCTGGGAGGTTCCAGTGGGAAGTCGTGATCAGTAGGGTGCAGCAGTTCGGGTGTGAAGACAAATACTCGCCGAGAACATTGGCTAGCGGTTGCGCTATATCGTGAATTAGCAGAAGTTAGAATTCACGGGCCACTGGATCGAGTCCCAGTGGCTTAATGGTGTACGAGCTCACCTTGTAACCAGAAGGTCCTGGGTTTTAACCCCCCTGTAGTGGGTGCTGAAGAGTCCCAAACTATTTCGAAACACCTGTCCAGTACTCCCTGCAGGTTTTCCAATGGTTCTCTAACCAATGTCAGCTCATGATGAAATCCTGTAATCTAATATTATTATTTAATACTAAATGGTTATTACCTTACTCCATTTTTGATTACCTATCTGATACCAGCTGGAAAGAACACATTGATGTAAAATGTGTCATTTTCGTCAAACACTATCTATCTAAATAATGAAATGCGGGTCAAAATTTGTGTGCTGGCAGTTTACAGTGTGTGTGTGTGTGTGTGTGTGTGCGTGTCAACAACACAACATTGTAACATGTTATTTCAAATAAACTGCCCTTTTAAAAATACTGTTTTATTGCATAATTCATGTTCTGGATATGTGTTACACACAGACACCAAACACATACGCAGACACACACACACACACACACACAATGTGAGAGGATCACAGAGAGAGAGAGAGAAAGAGTTGTGAGAAAATCGATTTCTCAATATGAACAACCAATGATAATATCTTGCTTGTACTGAATGACTCATTTTTCGTATGGGATTAAAATGTATCTGGTTTTGGTGATAAGATCATACAGAATCAAAGTGTTGAGTATCATTTCTCATGCTTGATTGATTTCAAATAAAATGAAACGTTCTCTCTCTCGCGCGAATAACACTGAAAGTAGACTTTCATCATTTTCATCTGGTGCTTTTAGAAGTGTGTGGGCGGGCGGAGAGACCTGGCCACTGAGAGTGGAAGACATGAAAAGATTAGCTGTCTTTGATCATAGGTGCCTGCGTTCTATCACCCGTGTGAAGTGGTATAATAAGGTGAGCAATATTGAGGTTAGGTCTTAGTCGAGTGATAGGTAAGGAGGCTATGAAGCTATTTTTTAATTTTTTGATTACAGCTTGATTCCACACCGTATTTTTTGGTACAGTTATGGAATTTTCAGCAGGTGATATCTGTAGCACAAATTTTGCAGGCCAACCATAGATATCAGGTGTGAGTCGGCAGGGGATTGAACTCCGGACCATGTTCATGGTCGGCGAGAGTCCCAACCACTGTGCCACCGATGCACTACATCCAATGAGATGTGTTACGTATGCCTTGTCATCGCCTTCCTCGACAATGGGCAATGTTACGTGACATAGGGTCAGACTGGAAATGAGCTTGTGGCGGTCAAACCAAAACATGGCACCAGTCAATGAAATCTACAACAGTTAGTCTAGGCCACGTAGGAAGGTGTAGACTTCCTAGTTGGGGTCCTCGGGACGGTAAAAACCAATGGTTGCAAACAATTGGTGACATGGCGCAGATGCATCCACTCCTTGTGACTTATGATTTCCAATGAAACTTTTTTGGTCTTCGTTATTACTATTCCTTTGTCTCACCCCTCTGTTTACTATCTTTATTACGCATTTCTCCTACTTTCTTCACTTGCTTTGTGTGCTTCATGGAGTGTGGCGACTTGAACTGCTGCAAATCTGGCTTGTTAAGAAGGCGTGTATGAGGGAATGTGTTACTTACTGTAGCTGGCGTCTGTTAAGGTGCTGTTCTCTCTACGTTTTCTATTTTCTTTCTTCTTGCATGTGATGTGAGTCTTATTCTGATGAAGCTAATTTTAACTATATATGCCGATGATTCGACTGTTTCCATACCATTTACTTCCCATGTAAGCTATTTATCAGAAGTTAGTCGTCAGTGGTTCTTGTCTTAACGTGAATTACCTGAACTAGTCCACTCCCACGATTCTTGCATCATAGAAGGTACTTAAAGTTGATAGTAAGTCGAATGTCAACTATCTGGGATTGTGTTTTTCCTCTGATCTTTCCTTGTCTTCCCATATCATGTTAATTTCTAGAAAGATATTTCGTCTAAAGATTCTACGCAAAGAAGTGAAGACAGCCTGGTATCACTTATTATTATTATTATTTATTATTTTTTCCTTTAATTCCTAGAGGAACATAGGGCTTCACCTGCACGTCTCCATTGTGTTCGGTTCTCTGCTAAACTTTTCACCTGGCTCCACGTCCACCTACCCACATGCTTTCATCTCCTCTTCACATCACCTCCTCCAAGTCACCCACCTTGCACTGACGACCAACTCGCCGCTTCCCTTTCGGGTTCCACTCGAGCGATGGCTTGTCTAGTGATGTCACTTGATGGATTGTTTCCTCAGAGTATGGCCAATCCATCTCCATTTCTTCCTGCTTATTTGCTGCACAATCGGTTCCTGGTTGGTTCGCTCCCAGAGATCCCTCACTATTGCTGATCTTTTCTGGCCGGCCATCTGATCTTGAGCGAACTATTGAGCGAAAGCAGCTGTTGATGAAGGTCTGTAGTTTGTTTGAGGTGCTCTTTATGACGCGCAGTGCAAGTCTCTGATCCGTTTGTTAAGTAGCACTGAGTGACTTCACATTGGAGTTGAAAATCCCGATATTATTTTTCATACTGAGCAGTGCTGTTGACCTCCACACAAACTTGAGAGTAGTGAAAGCTTGTCTTGCTTTCCCGATCCTTGCTTTGATACTTTTACATTTTGTCAATTTTTGTCTTCAATCTATCCCCAACTTTCATACTTCACATTAATCTTTTCTGGGTTACTTTAAAAAAGACTTTGTTATATTGAGGAGTAGGAGATTCGAACATCGCTGGTAACGATTTATGTTTAATGTCACACAAACTAGAGAACGACTTGCAGGTGAAAACCAACAAACTGGCTAGAGAAGCCATTAGCGAAGACAAGACTCCAGGTGAACATGGAGAAGGTGGAGACGGAGGTGATGAAGATAATTAACCAACCAACAGCAACAACAACCAGCACCAATCACCATCAACCGGAAGAGATTTGATAGGGGTTACCTCCTTCACTTATCTGGCCAGGCAGTATCGTTTCAACTACAAGCAGATGGAATGGGTGAGAATGTCAAAGGCAGCCAGAATCGGAAAATAAAAAGACAAGCCTTCATTAACCTGAAATCAGTTTGGAAATCTTCTGCATTACGCAGCATAAAGAACAAGATTCGCACTTTCAACACAAATGTCAAGTCAACCAGTTATTCTATATTTATTTTTTTTAAATTTTTTTAATTTTTGGTTACAGCTTGATGCCACACCGTATTTTCAGTACAAGCATGGCATTTTCAGCATGGATATCGGTAGCCCAAATTTTGCAGGCCGACCATAGATATCGGGTCAGAAACGTGACCAGCGCATCATGAAAAGGATTTCCAACAAGTTATAGACTTTTGTCAACAGCCTACCCCCCTCCCATCGCTGGCTCCAGAAAGAATTAGCAACAAGAAACTCTGGCTGGGAACAAACCAACCAAAAACCGATCATTCAACAAATATGTAGGAGAAAAAGGAGATGGATTCGGCATATGTTGAGGAGGCAACGCAGGCCGTTGCTCGAGTGTAGTCCGAATAGGAAGCGACGAGTGGGTCGTCCTAGGGTGGAGACATGAAGGAGATCGTGCGAGGGGGAAATGAGAGATTGTAGGCAATCATGTGGCTAGCCAGCTAAAGAGGAGAGCAGAAAATAGGAAAAAGTAGAGATGCGTTTTTGAAGCCCTATGTTTCACTCGGAGACCAAGGAAATACTATTAATAATACATTGAGGAGGGCACATAAATCTGTTGGTAGAGTGGGTGGTATGTGACCAAGCCAACTTGTGAATCCTGTTGTTAACAGACACTTAGGCGAGACATTTGTGAGTACTACTTTGTCGAACTGTAACTATGCTATCTCTACACACAACTCTCTCTCTCTCCAAAAGCAAATCATTATCACGAAGAGGATTAGAGGCAATTATAAAAGACTTTCTGCTCTGATGACTGAGCATAAAAAACTCTACGATACGTCATATAGCGCGCAATCTATGTGATGAGAAAAGTGTTAGGCACAAAACTACTAACTTTCTGTTAATTAGGCTAATAAAACGGGACATTTTTAATCTTCCTATCATCGATATATTGTTGTCACTATTTCTATATAATGTAATTATTCTGACATCCAGCGCCAACCACCACCATCAACGGGAGGGATTTGAAAGAGGTTACTTCACTCACTTATCTAGGGAGCATTGTCTCAACTACAGGAGGTACGGACGACGATGTCAAATACAGAATCGGGAAGGCGACAAACACATTCATCAACCTGAAACCAATCGGGAAATCTTCGTCACTTACTCAGCATCAACAACAAAATTCCGATTTTCAATACAAACGTCAAGTCAGTTCTTCTATACGGATCAGAATATTTCTAACAGGTTGCAGACCTTTATCAACAACTGTCGCTCTATACTGAAGATCAGATGGCCGGAAAGAATCATCAACAAGAAACTACGGGAACAAACAAAACAAGAACCAGTCACCCAACAAATATGCAGGAGAAAGTGGAGATGGATTGGACACTCACTGAGGAGGCCGCTGGGTGACATCGCGCGTCAGGCCAGTGCTCGAGTGGAACTCGAAAGGGGAGCGGCGAGTTGTTCGTCTAATGGTGACATGGAGGAGATCGTGTGAAGAGGAGTTCCAACTCTATGGACTAACATGGATGCAGGTGAAAAGTACAGCAGAGGACAGAAGCAAGTGGAGACGTACAGTTGAAGCCCTATGTTCCACTAGGAATCCAAGGGAACAATAATAATAATTATTCTGAAATTAGTGTGGTGTGAAGGTTTACACCAACGTTGCCTAGTTTACCAGAGCCAGTCAGTCCTGAGAACGAGAAAAGACAGAGGAGTTAAGCGTGGTTAAGCTACCGACCCTTCCAGGGAAAATCAACCCACCCTCCACAGAAACTTCAAAACAAAGTAAAAATTTATTTTTTTTTAAACTTATTATACGCTGGAATCGGAGAGACGGAATGACACCGGCTAGTAAAAGCCTTCAGGAAGCCAATCCAGCGCCTACTTCCATTGAAAGCTAAAATAATAAGCATAGGGACATGGAATTTTCACAAGATGTACGAATCCAAGAAGGTTGCCAGGTCACCAAATAAATGAGAAGCTATATATATTGGCAAAGGAATACTGGGAATCTGGAGGTCTACAACATCATTTAACGCAACCAAACAAAATCAGAAGTTAAAAAAAAACTAGTCTCAAGTTAGTAGTGAGTGCTTCTATATGCTTCAGAGGTTCTGAGCACACGTCACCACCACCACCACACAACCACTACAGGCATTTTTTACAACAGGCCTGCCCTCCATATTAACGAATAGAAGGTCAGAAAGATCGATTATACATGCTACACTGAAGAGACCTTCAAGTGTGAAGGTGAAACAACAAGCTTCTCGCGTGAAACTAAAATATTGAGGCGAGAAGTTAGGAATAGGTTCAAGAGTAACGTGGAAGAAAATCATAAGAAGAAGAAGAAATGAAGGCTTACAGACAATCAGGGAGCCAGTTGAAAGTGTTGGGACAGAATCAAGTTCAACGGAAATGTACCCTTGAGGTCACTTGGATCTCATGGAATGAATAATAACAATAATAGTAATAATAATAATCATCACAAAATTATAACTAACCTCAAATAAACTTTTAAAATTTACGGAACAACATTCACAATAACCGGATGGTTCATCATCTACAGCTGCAATAGTTGAATTCGCTTTAGGATTACTGTTAAGAAAAGAAAATCATAATAATAATGATAATAATTACTTTTTTTAAAGCTATAAGAAGAATTTGAAATGACTAAGACGGTATATAAATTTTTGTTAAAATTATTATTGCTGCATCTGCTGTGGTGTGTGTGTGTGTGTGATTGTACAGAAATACTCGGTCTTTGTTGACGTGTTCGACTCCCAGTACGGAGACTTTTGGACGATGCGTTTAGTCGTTAACGTGATATTGTTGTTTGAGTGACGTCGGTCGGTTTACGACATAGAACTTTGCACATATGTGCGGAAGTTCGAGTCGCCACACTCCCTCCTTGTAGCACACAAAGCAACAGAAGAAAGTAGGAGAAATGCATAATATAGACAGTATACAGAGGCGTGAGACAAAGGAATAGTAATAACGAAGAACGATATAGTTTCATTAGAGATCATAAGTCACAAGGAATGGATGCATCTGCGCCAGCCATTGAGAACGAGAATTTCGAGCCATATCACCAATTGTCTTCAGCCGTGATTGGTTTTAACCATCTCGAGGACCCGAACCAGGAAGTCTACACCTTCCTACGTGACTGGCTTAAACTAACTGTTGTGGATTTCATTGACTGGTGAAGCCATGTTTTGGTTTGACCGCCGCTAGCTCTTTTCTAGCCTGACCCTATGTCAGGTCACATAGCCCATTGTCGAGGAAGGCGATGACTAGGCATGCATGTGTAACACATGTCCTAACCATCCCAATCGATGTAATTTCACAGTCTTGTCTATTGATTTGCCCGCCTTACCTAGAACTCGACGCTTAACCTCAATATTGCTCACCTTATAATACCACTTCACGCGGGAGATAGAACGCAAACACCTATGATCGAAGACAGCTAATCTTTTCATGTCTTCTGCTCTCAATGGCCAGGTCTCACAGCCATAAAGGAGGACGGAGCGGACTGTTGACCAGTACACATGCCTTTTGGTCGATAGTCGGATATCGCGTCTACGCCAGAGACGGCGTAAACTGGCATATGCGAAACTAGCCCTCTGTATTCGTGCTGCTGATTGACGTAGAGATATGACAGTTACACTCGACTAACGACTCCAAAATAGGATGAGATGTCAGTCACTGACAAACAAAATAACCTTATTTGGTTACAGGATTTCATCATGAACTGACATTGGTCAGAGAACCATTGGCTAGTAGTCGCGCTATGTCATAAATTGGCAGAAGTTAGAATTCATGCGCCGGTCATTGGATTGGGTCCTAGTGGCTTAATGCTCTACGAGCTCGCCTTGTAACCGGAAGGTCCTGGGCTTTAACCCCCCTGTAGTGGGTGCGTACTGATGAAGAGTCCCAAACTAGGACGAAACAGCTGTTCCGTATTCCCAGCTCATGATGAAATCCTGTAACTAATTGATCAAATCCCTGCAAACCAATACTTGAAAATAATCTTATGTTAACCAAGAAGACTTATAGCCCACGATGAGGATGGCAGTTATTTGATATTTTTTGTAGTTTTGATATGTGATTGTGGAAGGTGACTTCATCGAGCTTGGTGACATCTTTTGCATGTTGTCTTCTTCATTCCTTACTGTTCGTATGGAACACATAAGGGGCTTCAAGCTTTGAAATTTCACTACCAGCTGTGTGATTTTTACAGGGTGAGGTTGTTAACCTCATGCCTCTTAACCTTCCTTCCTCTCTGGACTTACACTACTGATTGGTCAAAAAGGTGAGGCTTAAGTGTGTTGGGCAGGAATCGAACTCAGACCTTCCCTGTGTGACTGATTAGCATTCTACCAATTGAACGCCACCAACCATAATCATTGTATGTTTGTGAAAATACATACTAAAACATAATTGTATATGTGAAACTAGGTATGGCTGGCAGGCTGGATTCAACATAGAAAGAGTATAGCGAGAGTTAATAAATAGTGTGAGGGAAAAAGAACAGTAATATGCAAGATCAGTAGAGTTTTATTGGATATGACAAATCACTCACAAAGAGTGAATGCATCTACGCCATTGAGAACGAGGATTTTGAGCCATATCACCATCCCGAGGACCCTAACCAGGAAGTCGATCTACACCTCTCTATGTGGCTGACTCAAACTAACTGTTGTGTATTCCACTGAATGATGAAGCAATGTTGTTTTTTTGACCACCACTGGTTCTTTTCCAACCTCATCCTTCTTATGTCAGTCAGCTAACATTCCACATCGTCGAGAAAGGTCATCGATGGCTAGACATGCATGTGTAACACATGTCCTAACCATCTCACTCAGTCTATGTAACTTCACAGTCTCGTCGATTGATTCCCCCCCCCCCACCTTACCTAGCACTCGACTGAAGGCTAACCCCCTCAATATTACTCACCTTATTATGCCACTTAACATGGGAGATAGAACGCAGACACCTATGATCAAAGACAGATAGATAGCCGGCCTTTTCATGTCTTCCACTTTCAATGGCCATATCTTACCGATAGCCATGAAGGAGGACGGAGAGAACTTTTGAGCAGTACACTTGTCCTTTGGACGATAGCCAACCGGATATCACGTCTGCGCCAGTGAGGACGTAAATCGGTATATGCCAGACGAGCCTTATGTTTCCGTGTGGCGATTTCGTCAGCGATCAAACCACAGGGGCTGGCTCATGCAACTTCCCAAATAAGTGAGGTGGTGGTCAACACGCTCTACCACCCGGTTGATAGTATTCCTGGCTAGTGGTTTTCGGGGATTCATCGCTAGAAGACAGTATTCAAAATCCCCGCGTAGTGCATACAGCGTATGGTGATTGTGAAGACGACATAGTCACACATTTAGCAATTCTACATTAATTGTAGGAAAGTCAACATATATCTCCATGCGATGAAGAAATAAGATCACAGGTTACATTTAAAAGCAGTTGAATAATAGGTCTCCAAGCTTGAGAAAATAAACCACGACTATTCATTAACACAAAAAAAGTGGTCCCACCAAAGCATCAAGTGAAATTCATTAAGTCTTTGATAGTTAGTTTGAGCCACACTGGCGGTAGGGGGTGGGGTCCTCGAGAATGCTAGGAACCAATAGCATCTAACTGGTGGAGATGCATACACTCTTTATTATGTATCCCAGATCAATTAATTCATCACGTTTCGCTATGTCAATATTCTTTCCCCCTTACATTTCTGTCCATTATAGACTTTTTCTTTCTCTACTTTTGTGTACTATATACAGGAGGTGTGGAAATTCGAAGTGCTGAATTTTCTTCCTTTATCCCCATTCCTAATCAACTTCATCATAGACGTACTAATGAAATTAACCCTAACACACTTCAGAGACTCAGGGATTGACTTGCTACCAGGGAGTAATCTCGTTGACTTAGAATATGTAGACGATATAGTCCTTTTAGGCGAGGACGCTAAGGAAATAGAGCAGAGTCTACTGAACACCTTGAGCAACAATCTTCGTATATTTGGCATGCGATTCGCCCCTGTAAAATGTAAGATGATGTTACAGAACTGGACTACACCGACCCCTAGATTAGAAATAGGAAGTGAAGTGGTAGAACATGTTGACCGCTTCACTTACTTGGGAAGTACCATCACCCAGTGCCAACGGGTTGATCTCTGACGAAATCTCAGCACGGATAAAGAGGGCTAGTTTTGCATATGCTAGTTTACGCCGTCTCTGGCGTAGACGTGATATCCGACTATCGACCAAAGGACGTGTGTACTGCTCATCAGTCCGCTCGGTCCTCCTTTATGGCTGTGAGACATGGCCATTGAGAGCGGAAGACATGAAAAGATTAGCTGTCTTCGATCATAGGTGTCTGCGTTCTATCTCCCGCGTGAAGTGGTATTATAAGGTGAGCAATATTGAGGTTAGGCGTCGAGTGCTACGTAAAGAGGGGGAATCAATAGACGAGACTGTGAAATTACATCGATTGAGATGCTTAGGACATGTGTTACACACGCATGCCTAGTCATCGCCTTCCTCGACAATGGGCAATGTTAGCTGATATATGGTCAGGCTGGAAAAGAGCTAGCGGCGGTCAAACCAAAACACGAATTCACCAGTCAATGAAATCCACAACAGTTAGTTTAAGCCAGTCACGTAGGAAGGTGTAGACTGGCTTCTTGGTTGGGGTCCTCGGGACGGTGAAAACCAATGGTTGGAAACAATTGGTGACATGGCTCAAAATCGTCGTTGTCAATGGCGCAGATGCATCCACTCCTTGTGACTTATGATTTCCAATGAAACTATACCTTTGTCTCACACCTCTGTTTACTGTCTTTATTATGCATTTCTCCTCTTGCTTTGTGTGCTACAATCAGGGAGTGTGGCGACTTGAACTGCTGCACATCGGTGCAAAGTTCTATGTCGAAAACAGACAGACAGACAATTAATTCGTTATGTTTCGCTATGTCAATATTCTTTCCCCCTTACATTTCTCTCCGTTATAGACTTTTTCTTTCTCTACTTTTGTGTACTATATACAGGAAGTATGGAAATTCGAAGTGCTGAATTGTTTTCTGAAGTCCAATGTAAGGACTCAGTCAGTCAGTCAGTTTGTCACCAATATAAACGATATTATTTTTGATAGTCCAAGCATCCTTTTGTAATTTATGTAATAAAGGGTAATTGCAAAATCTCTATGTACATGTCGGTGCACTAAAAACGAGTCAGATTGCGTGTCAGAAATGATTATATCAAACTGAAGTAGGCTGTAAATGATTCATCAGGGAGTGACCAGTCCAGAAGACTCATTTTGTCGGCCACTTAATTATCATTTTATACGTTACTGGGTTTGCCAATATTTTTTGAAAAACCACTTACTATGTATACTGAAGCATTTCGCTATCTGAAACCTCAGAAGTTTTTATATTTCAGGTTTGGCCATGGATTGATATCAGTTGGAGAACCATTATTAAGAACCAGGGAGTACTAGGACAGCTGTTTCTTCCTAGCTTTTGGAACTCATCGACAGTACTCACCTATCAACGAGGTTCGGACTCAGGACATTCCAGTTACAAGGCAGCCCCGTAGAGCATTCAGCTGCTGGAACCCGACTAAATGGCCTGATAATTCTAACCTATACTAATTGGCGCGACTACCAGACAATGTCATCAGCAAGTGTTTGTTCTCACTCCCGACCGACTTCTTAATAGAACTCCAAGAGACTTCATCCTGTAGCCAGTCAGTCACTAGAGAGCATCAGATTAATTTTGGTAGAAGTTCGAATTCATGGACCATTGAGTCGGGCTCCAGTGGCTGAATGGTCTACAATCTTGTCCTGTGACCGGAAGGTCCTGGGTTTGAACCTCGTTGGTGGGTGCGTAGCGTCGGTGAGTCCCAAACTAGGATGAAACAGCTGTCCAGTACTCTCTGGATCTTCGTGTTACTTTCAGAAAGAGAAGTAAGGCGTAAATTGCAGCAGCATTGTCATCTTGTCAAAACACACGCCACCGGATGCAAACCGTAATACGAAGGCAGCGATGATCCAACATGCAGGGTTACTTCTCATCCTCGGTCAGGTTTCAGAGTCGCAGAGGAAAACTGAGAGCGCCGAAGAATTATAAGCCTAATCTTTGACAAACAAACTAACGTCGGAGGTGACCCAGATTGGCATGTGACACCCTGACTTTCTATGTACGGTTTCTGTCATACCTCCGCTAGCACGTATACAAATACCTGGATACATGAACTCATATCGATCACTTCTCATGGTTTACCTACGAAAGTTAGTCCATGTACATACTACTGACAATCTTGTAACAATACTTTGCAATTCTATGGAGCATGGTACATCACATTTTTACTGACACTGATCGCCAACTGACTAATTGCCATTTGGGCAGCTTGTGTGTGTGTGTGTGTGTCATCGCACAGTAAGATGATATCGTATCTGCATACTCGTAGTCAAAAGGTCTTTCTTCCTTCAGACAGTAAATCTATACCAACACCACAACACAGCGACGGCAAAATTACGGAGGAATGGTGGAAGCCTGTTTAACTCCATTGTTAGTTGAAGACAACGATGATGGCTGGTTGAATTGATCTCACTCTCGCCTAAGTTTCTGCACAAGGCTTTCATCAGGATGTTAACGAACTTTATTCTCACACAAACAATTTCAGCGGCTGACTTCGTTGTCTCCCCTTATTGTTATAACCATTTAACTACATATATATATCTCATACAATTTCTTTTCAATCACCATTTTTTCATTCTATGTCTGAATATATATTAAGGCGTACAGTGTAGTTAAGGCGTCACTTCAACGAGCTTCAAAAGGGTACTAATCCATCTAGGAATTGCTTCTCACCATTCTCACCACAGTCAATCACTGCGCACACATCTCAGCATTTACAACTAAACCATCATCTGAACATAAAAATACAAAATTATTTGCCCAATAATAATCATTAAAAAATAATTACCTATCAATTCCTTTAACTGCTAAAGAGGCTGTACGTTGTAATGGTGTAGCAGTATTGTGTTTCTGTAGTCGATGTTTCCGTCTTGCCCGACTGTCTTTACGCGTTAAAACTGATTGTGTACCTGTTGTCCCAGAGACAAGATGACTTGGATTGTTGTGGTGTACGGGAAAGCCAACACTTGCTCCTGGAACACTACCAGCAACACCACCCCCACCAGCGGCAGTGGTGGTGGTGGTGGAGGCGACAGGAGTTCCAACAGTGATATTATTAGTACTTTTCAATGGCATAGGCGATGATGGACAATCTTGTACACCACGACTGAATGTCTCCTGTGAAGATTTCGATTTTGACTTATAACGATCGACTAAATTCCATAATTCAGGCAGATAGTCTGTTTTATCCAAATAAATCGGTCTATAGTGATTTTTTGTATCAATCACCTTGATACATGGACTGACAAGGTGTCGAACTGGAATTCGAAAATGGAAAACAATAAAGGCAAAAACACATTAAATTATGTAATAATCGTCCTTCAAATGATGTAGAATATGAGAAGACAAAATCTTGCATCTGATCACTTTTATTATACACATTTACCAGTTCACTTGTTCCTGTGGAGCCATCAGATGTATTGGTTCTGTGTCTAGAAAGGGTCCCCGTATTACTATCTCGCATGATTGTAGACAGGCAGTGTAACAACAACAAGGCAAGACAGGAAAGCTGAGTGATCAAATCGCTATTTATATCTACACAGTTTATATTCTTTAACCAATCATTGAGTGTGTGATTTTGGTTTACATTAAACGACATGAAAAAGAATGTTCAAATGTATATATAGTATTCTGTGGGAATATGTGAGAATAATATTCCGTTGGAACACACTGTCTGTATCGCACCATCACACTCGTCGCCCCCGTCAAATACTTTAGATTGAAATAGGTCCGATCTTCTTGGTGCTGGCGGCTTTGTTTGCTTGTCTTGCTGTATCCATTTCCGGAGCTCGCTGACGTTCACCCGCTCCTCTTTGTTTGCATTTCTGATCGTATATACGTGACTCCGTCTCACGGTGACCATGTATGGTCCTTCCCACTCTGGAAACAGTCTGCATAACCCTGGTTCGTATTCGCCGATGTGTCGCCTGACACTATCATATACTGCTATCGCCCTACCTCCTAGCAGCTTTCCAAGTAACAGCCTCATCGTTGACTGATCTTGAACGCCATTCAACTCCACAACAGCGTCAAAGTCCTGCAAGAGGATCTATATGTCTCCTTCTTTAAAAACTGCAGGGCATAGGCTTCCCATTTGTCGGCAGGCAGCGACACCAAATGTAACAACAGAAGACAAGACACGGAAGCCAAAGTATATTTTCCATTAATCATACTGCTGTTTATATATCTATACAGTTTGTATTCTTTAACCAATCATTGAGTGTGTGATTTTGGTTTACATTTAAACGACATGAAATAGAATGTTCATATGTATATATGTAGTATTCTGTGGGAATATATGAGAATAATATTCCGTTGGAACGCAATTGTCTGTTTCACACCACCACCACAGTAGCAGTGGCTTCTGTAAAGTGTGCACACAATGAGTAAAACATCATATCGACACTGGTCATTCAATGGCCATCTCAGTAAAACTCTTCCTTCAAAGTAATCCGCTAAAAGTGAAGAACAACCTGCCAACAGACAATATGCTTCCGTCCCCCTCTGCATTGCTAAAGCTCTAAACATTCAGATAGGGAAACCAAAACTAGGCATACAAAAGAGGATTCTTTCATCCACTCTTATGACGGTAACGATGCTGTTTCTTTTGAAATTTTAAACAATGTAACATTTTGCCTTCTGACTACAACTCATTCACTGCATTATTTATCTCACTAAGTAACTTTAATTTTTTTTATTCCTTCACGTTCCCCAGTGGAACATAGGGCTTCAAGCTAGAGGCTTGAAGTTCCTGTAGCAGTGTTTATTTTTACAGGATGGGTTTGCTAGCCCCACGCCCAACCTTTCCTCTTTGCCAGCTTTTAGTTCTGGCTTAGTGAGTTAAAGGGGTGCGCCGGTCAGGGATCGAACCCCGGACCATGTGCATGGTCGGCGAGCGTCTTAACCGCTTTGACATCGACGCACAAGTAACTTTAATACCCTTATTCAACTCCTTTTGTATGATGGCTAATATCAGTAACTGTGATTATGACAACTCATCATTTTTTGTTACGATACACCTTTATTATTATTATCATTGTTACCTGTAATTCCTAGAGTAACATAGGGCTTCAGCCGCGCGTCACCATTTTCATCTCCTCTTCACATCACCACCTCCAAGTTACCCCACCTTCGCACTGACGACCAACTCGCCGCTTCCCTTTCGGGTTCCACTCGAGTGATGGCTTGTCTAGTGATGTCACTTGATGACTTGTTTCCTCAGAGTATGGCCAGCCAATCCATCTCCATTTCTTCCTGCTTATTTGTTTCACAATCGGTTCCTGGTTGGTTTGCTCCCGAAGATCCCTATTACTGATTTTTTCTGGCCTCCATCTGATCTTGAGCGAACTATTGAGCGAAGACAACTGTTAATGAAGGTCTGCAGTTTGTTTGAGGTGCTGTTTATGACGCGCCAAGTCTCTGATCCGTATGGTGAGTAGCACTGACTTCACATTGGAGTTGAAAATCCGGATCTCATTTTCATTCTCATGTTGAGTGCTGTTGACCTCCACATAGACTTGCGAGTAGTGAAAGCTTGTCTTGCTTTCCCGATTCTTGCTTTGATATCCTCGTCAGTTCCGTGTGCCTGTAGTTGAAACGATGCTTCCCAGGTAGGTAGGTAGGTAGGTAGGTGAAGGAGGTTGTTTCTTTCAGGTTCCTTCCATTTATGGTGGCTGATCGTTGTCTGTTGTTGTTGTTCTTGTCCAGGAATCTTCATTACCTCTGTTTTCTCTATGTTCACCTGAAGTCCTGTTTTCTCTGGATGCTTCTTCTGCCAACTTGTTGCTTTTCACTTGCATATCTTCCAGTTTGTGGGAAATCAGACATAATTAATTCATCGGCGAAGTCCAGATCCTCCAAGTTTGTTGTGTGAGTCCATTTTATGCCTGTTTCCTCATTGCCCACTGTTTGTCGCATTATCCAGTCTACTGCAATCAGGAAAATCATTGGCGATAGAAGTTAGCCAACTTGTCTTACTCCCCTTCTTCACTTCTTGGAAGGATTCCGTAAGTTTCCCGTTGTGGATTACTTGGCATGCAGCATTGTCGTACAGCTGTTGGAGGAGGTGTATAATTGTCGGTGGCACCCGTAGTAGCGAATTAGTTGCCAAATCACCTCTCGATCGACGCTGAATTATTTGACGAGAAGCACCTCTTTACTGACTGAATGCTTTCAACGAAGAACTTTTCACAGATGTGCAGCAGTTCACACCTGCTACACTCCTTCCTCGTAGTACAAAAAGTAAGAGAAGAGGACAGAGAAAGGTTCAAAAGAGAGGTAGATAATAAACAGAAGTGTGAGTGAGGGAAAAAAACAACAGTAATATGCAAGATCAATAGTTTTATCGAATACGACAAATCAATCACAAAGAGTGAATGCATCTACGCCAGCAGCCATCACTGAGAACGAGGATTTTGAGTCATATCACCAATTATCTGTCTCCACCCATACGTTCTTACCATCCCGAGGACTCTAGCCAGCCAACAAGTCTACACTTCTCTACGTGGCTAGTTGGCTGGCTCAAACTAACTGTCATGGATATCACTGACTGATGAAGCCATGTTTTCGTTTGACCACCACTAGTTCTTTTCCAGCTATATGACAATGGCACGTATCAGGTGATCCACAAGGGAAAACTCAGTGAGTCGTTTGAAGTGCATACAGGAAGGAGTAAGACAAGCTGGCTGCCTTTTATCACCGATGATATTCTTAATTGTGGTGGATTGGATTATGCGTCAGATTGTGCACAGGGAACGAGGAGACAGGAGTACTTTGGACCACCTCGATAACAAGACTCTAGAAGATTTCGCGTGTGGATGGTATACGTCTAATGTCACAGCACTGGGTGATGCGGGTTCGAATCTCAGAAGGGACATCAGTTCCTTCAAGGTTGCAGATACGCCTTGCTGATGAGTGCCAATTAGCACGAAACCTAGGTCCAAGGCTTCCTGTGGCCGATTGCCTCCAACCACCTAATACCAACAAAGAAGACGGAGGTGATGAAGATAGCCAATCAGCAGCAGCAATAACAACAACCAGCACCAATCACTATCAACCGGAGAGATTGAACAGAGGTTACGTCCTTCACTTATTTCCGTAGCATCGTCTCAACTACAGGCACACAACACTGTTGAAGATGTCAAGGCCGATCAGAATCGGAAAAGCAACCAGAAACCAGTTTGGAAACCTTCTGCTGTCACTCAGCATAAGGAACAATATTTGCATTTTCAACACAAATATCAAGTCACTCAGTTCTCCTATACAGCTCAGAAACTTGGACAGTGTGTCACAAAAAGGATTTCCAACAGCCTGTTGCAGACTTTTATCAACAGCTGCCTCCTTTCGCTGGCTCCATACTGAAGATCAAATGGCCGCCGACCAGAAAGAATCAGCAACAGTAAACTCTGGCAACAAACCAACCATAAGCCGATCGTTCAACAAATATGTAGGAGAAAGTGGAGATGGATTGGGCATATACATTGAGGAAACCGTCGAATGACATCACGCATCAGGCCCTCAAGAGGGATTTTATTCATTTATTTTATTATAGCTTGATTTCACACAGTATTATGGTACAATTATCGAATTTTCAACATTTGATATCGGTAGCCCAAATTTAACAGGCCGACTAATGATATCAGGTGTGCGTTGGCCGGGGATCGAACCCCGGACCATATGCATAGTTGGCGAGCGTCCTAATCACTGTGCCACCGACGAGTGGGTCGTCCTAGGGTGATATGGAGGAGATCGTGTGAGGAAGAGATGAGAGAGTTTGGTCAATCCTGGACCCAGCTGAAGAGGACGGCAGAAAACAGAACAAAGTGGAGATGTGTTGTTGAAGCCCCCTATGTTCCACTCGGAACCCAAGGGAATAATAATAATAAAGTTCTTCTTCAACCTCATCTATCCTATGTCAGTCAGCTAACATCGCGCCCGTCGACGAGGAAGGCTATTGGGTGGCTAGACATGCATGCGTAATACATGTCCTAACAATCTCGTCAATTGACCTCCCTTCGTTACCTAATATATTCGACCGATGCCTAACCTCAATACTGCTCACCCTATTATGCCGGCAAACACGAAAGAGAGAACACAGGCATCTATGATCAAAGACGGATAACCGGCCGGCCATCATTTTCATGTTCTCTACTCTCATCAGGCATAAAGGAGGAGAGGGAAGAACTGCTCCTGTACAGTACAGACGTCCCCCCTTTGGTCGATAGCCAGTTGGACATCGCGTCTACACTGAATACAAACAATGGAATATATAGTTCAAGAGGAAAATTATGTGATATAACAATATTAACGCGAAAAGAATACTACTCACAATTTACATGCCCTGGATGAAAAACTTCGACCGGAACAGGCTGGATTCAGGAGAAACAAGTCATGCATTGATCAGATCGCCACATTACGGATCATCATTGAACAAAGCTTGCAATGGCAGTCACCTCTCTATCTCAACTTTATCGACTTTGAAAAGGCCTTTGACAGCGTCGATCGAGGGGTGCTTTGGCAACTAATTCGCTACTACTAAGGGGTGCCACCGACAATTATACATCTCATCCAACAGCTGTACGACAATGCTGCATGCCAAGTAATCCACAACCGGAAACTTACGGAATCCTTCGAAGTGAGGACAGGAGTAAGACAAGCTGGCTGCCTACTATCGCCAATGATTTTCCTGATTGCAGTAGACTGGATAATGCGATAGAAACACAGCGAGCAGCGAGGAAACAGGCATAAAATGGACTCACACAAAAAACTTGGAGGATCTGGACTTCGCCGATGATATATGTCTGATTTCCCACAAACTAGAAGATATGCAAGCGAAAAGCAACAAGTTGGCAGAAGAAGCATCATAGAGAAAACAGAGGTGATGAAGATTCCTGGCCAACACCACCACCAACAACAACAACAACAGACAACAATCAGCACAAATGGGAGGAACCTGAAAGAAACAACCTCCTTCACCTACCTACCCACCTGGGAAGCATCGTTTCAACTACAGGCGGATGGAACTGACGAGGATACCAAAGCAAGAATCGATAAAGCAAAACCACCTTCCATTACTCTCAAGTCTGTGTGGAGGTCAACAGCCCTACTCAGCATCAAAAATAACATCCGGATTTTCAACTCCAATTTGAAGTCAGTGCTACTTAACAAACGGATCAGATACTTGCACTGCGTGTCATAAAGAGCATCTCAAACAAACTACAGACCTTCATTAACAGTTGTCTTCGCTCAAGATCAGATGGTCGGCCAGAAAAGATCAGCAACAAAGATCTCTGGCAATGAGCGAACCAACACAGCAGGAACCGATTGTGAAACAAATAAGCAGGAAGGAATGGAAGTGGGTTGGCTGGCCATACTCTGAGAGAGCCATCAAGTGACATCACTAGACAAGGCATTGCTCGAGTGGAACCCGAAAGGGAAGCGGCGAGTTGTTCGTCAGTGCGAAGGTGGGGTAACTTGGAGGAGGTCATGTGAAGAGGAGATGACTTGGAGCCAGGTGAAGACTCTAGCAGAGAACAGAACGCAATGGAAACGCACGGCTGAAGCCCTATGTTCCTCTAGGAATTAAAGGAAACAATAATAATAATAGTAATAAAAATTGGTTCTTATATAAAAACTAACAAACAAACATCCGAGTTACCTTCATGGAGTCTATCTCGTTCTGGATCATTGATCACTTCATTCAATTGGTCTTCATTGTCTCCTCGTTGTGCTGACTATAAAATAATTTTCAAAAATAGCATTTGATCTCTTTATTTATCATGTAACACACACAACCTATTAATAATTTAAATATTCATACAGAGATTTGAGCTGTACAAAGTTTTGAGGATAGCGAAAATTTTCTAACAAACATTTAGAAGACACAGAAGAAAATTTGAGCAAAGAATATTTTCTTTCGATAGTTTCCTATTCCGGCTCTACAGCAATGTTGGTGTTGTTTTTTGTCGAAATAATAATAAGATCACAATATAATTCTCTCTCTCTGGATTCAACATAGAAATTATTTTTTTATTTTTATTTTCTTTTATTTTTCGATTACAGCTTGATTCCACACCGTATTTTCAGTACAAGTGTGGAATTTTCAGCATGGATATCGGTAGCCCAAATTTTGCAGGCCGACTATAGATATCGGGTGTGCATCGAAGTGCGGCAGTTCGAGTTGCCACGTTCCAAATACCACACAAACGTAGACAAGAACATGAGTGATGAAGAGAATCAATAGAGTTTTGACAAGTATAAGAGTGAAACAGAATGAGTAATGTTGCAAAGGAATATGAAAGATTACAGAGACTGAATACATCTGCGTAAGCCATTGACAACGATTTTGAGCCATGTCACCTATTGTCTCCAGCCATTGATTCTTAGAGCCCCAACCCGGAAGTCTGCATCTCCCTACCTACCTGATTCAGTTTAACTGTCAAGGATTTCATGGATTGATGAGGCCATGTCTTTGTTTGGCCACCACTTACTCTTTTCCAACCAACCTGCACATATATCAGCTAGTAATGCCCGTCCGTCGGGGGAGGCGATGGTTAGGCATGCGCACCACGTGACCTAGCCATCTCAATCTATGTAACTTTATAGCCTCTTCGATTGATTTCACTCCTTACCTAGCACTCGACTGAAGCCCAACCTCAATATTGCTCACCTTATTACACCACTTCACACGGGAGACAGAACGCAGGCACCTATGATCAAACACAGCTAACCAGCATTTTCATGTCTTCCACCCTCAATGGCCAGGTCTCACAGCCATAAAGGAGGACGGAGCAGACTGTTGAGCAGTACACTTGTCCTTTGGTCGATATCCAGCCGGATATCACGTCTACGCCAGAGACGGCGTAAACTGGCATATGCGAGACTAGCCCTCTGTATCCGTGCTGAGATTTCGTCAGAGATCAACTCGTTGGCACTGGCTGATGGTACTTCCCAAATAAGTGAAGCGGTCAACGTGCTTTACCACTTCACTTCCTATTTCTAATCTAGGGGTCGGTATAGTCCAATCCCGCAACATCATCTCACATTTTACTGCAGTTAAAGAAAGAAAGATGCATAAGTTGTAATAAGCACAGCGGTTAGGATTCTCGCCGACCATGCGCACATGGTCTGGGGTTCGATCTCCTGCAGCGACGCACACCTTATATCAATGGTCGACCTGCAAAATTTGGGCTACCGATATCACATCCTGAAAATTCCATACTAGTAACAAAACTGCGATGTGGAATCAAGCTATAATCAAATTATTAAAAAAATTTTTTATAGAATATCAAATAAAATTAAGGAAATTTCTACAACTAATCAAGGATCATTAAAGATCACGATGGTCGAGGTGAGGAGAGCGTCTGAACCAACCAACTTCTTCTTTTAGATACAGAGGTTGGGCTTGTTAAGGTAGACTCCAACAGCCTCCTCAGAAATATGTGTAATAGACGAACTCTTGAGGTGAAATTAAGATTGATCGGTTGCTTTGCGGTAGATGATTTTGTAATCCACCTTGTTTGCATAAATTTTGTGTTGTATATCTACGAGATGTGATAATACATAACCATAAATGGACTTTGTTTGTCTCTTACTTAACCACTGGTGATGCAGGATGATGTTCGGAAATCCGTCGATAAACACGCTTAATTGTACCGCTCATGTAACTAATTGGCTCCATATGTGCAGTCAAATTGATAGATACACACGGAAGGAGCGAAATTAGATGGTTTATCTTTAACTCCCAAATGTAAAATGTAGAGGTGGTTTTTAAGAGACATTATACTTCAGCGGGATTGTGAATACTCTTCGTTTTACCGAATTCCTTACACATTGTGTTAATATCTCATTGATGTTATCATCCAGCAGGAAGAGAAAATTATCGAATAGGATATTCTTTGCTCAAATTTTCTTTTGTCTTCTAGATTGTGATTTTGTTTGATTGACGTCAGGAATGGTTGTGGAGATTTTCACCTTGAACTGTCTACAGGAAGGGTTCGGTACGTGAATCCTACTGACAGAGTTTTGATTCCACCTTGTTAGGAATGTTGTTGTTCTTCTTGGTTCATAGGTGCTCTTTTTGCTTGACTTTCGGTTAAATGAATTTGTGTATCTGGAAAATACTGGATCTGTATAGCCTGTCTAACAGCATTGTCGAGGTAATTTTAAGTTTTGTTTTTTTATTCCTTTACGTTCCAAGTGGAACATTAGGCTTCAAGCTAGGGGCTTGAAGTTTCTGTAGCAGTGGTATTTATTTTTACAGGGTAGGGTTGCTGGCCAGCCTCATGCCCAACCTTCCCTTTTCACCTGGCTTAGCAAGGCAAAGGAGTGAGTTGGTGGCCGGGGGTCGAATCCCGGACCACCTGCTTGTTTGGCGAGCACTCTACCGCTGTACCACCAAGGCACTCCAAGTTTTGATATATTATGACTGTTTTTGCTAAACAGTATCACAGATTTTATATATCACAGGAAAAGCGTCTTTTTGCTGTCGTCAGGACACTTTGACCTCTTCATTTTTATTGTTAAACGTAACCAAATGTTCATACAGAGATTTGAATTGTACGAAGTTTAATATTTGATAATGAATTTACTCTGGAACATGAAAATGATGGAAAGTTCCATTTCCTTGATTGACACTGGCGTGCAACGCCTGGAAGATAATGGTCTCCAGAGGTCAATTTACTGAAAGCCTACATGGAATGGATAGTATCTACATTCTAATCGTTTTTGTCCAAATAAACGAGCACTAGTCAAAACTCTGTTCTATAGAGTAAGAAGAATATGCTCTGCAGACAAATTAGACGAAGAATTTATGATTCTCGAAAAGATGTTGAAAAAAAATGGTCACCCTCAGAGATTCATTAACAAGTAAGAAAGATGTAAAGGCTCAAATGTCAAACAAATCACAGTGGGGAAAAAGTCTGTCTTCATTCAACTTGATTTTAAAGGCGATAATATCACAGCACTAGTCAACAGAAAACTGAGCACGTCACTAGTCAGAGTCTATCCTGCAGGTAAGCTCGTTCCCGTCTATCGAACAACATGTTCATTAGTGAGATGAGAACTCGACAGATACGCTTCTCATGTTAACTCCAACTGTGTACACAAATTAAGGTGTATCCGAGGAAGTAGTTATATTGGGAGAACGGAAAGAAGGGCACACCTCCGATTTTCTGAGCATGTTAACGAAAAGCCTACGTCTCAAGGGAACAAACGCTTACAATGGCGCCTTTAACAAGCAACTCCTTGACACAGGTTAATGGACAGAAAGGCTCACTTCTCTTCAGGTTTGCTGAAGCAATCTCTATCAAACGCCTGAAATCCGATTTATGTTTTCAGAAAGAAGCAGTTATGAGTCTTTTCTTGCCCTAGTAACTAAATATCTCTAGTCCCTCTTTCATTTGATTACGGAATCTTTGGTTTTGACCTCACCCTCCCCACCTTTGATATAGTGTAATTTTGCTTGTCTCTTGTTTCTATGATTTGAGTTGTACTCAGTACATTGTTACCTAATTTACTAGTTGCTCATCATCTTACACATTTCCCGTCTTTATTATGTAACTCCTTTACCATTTTATACATAAATTTACTTTGTTTAGATTTGAACTCCCTGTGCAAAAACTATATAAGCGTAATGTTCCAGGTCACTGTTCACTAAGTCCACAACCTCCTGTCAACTGACATCATGTAGCCATTTGCAAGTATGTTGAACTGACTCTCAACCCCAGAACATCTATGAACATTGTACACTGCCATTAAAATATTAAGCGAACGACACAAAGAACAAGGACGAGTCGCCCTCAAAAGAAAACTAGCTAAGATATCCAAACAACCATCTGAAGAAACTATAAGTTATTGGCGTAGTAAATCTATCGAAACAACAAGCATTATCAAAAACAGAAGAACAACTTCATTAAAAAGGACTCAACTACAATACTGGTGAGGCTTCAGTAACAGATTTCTGTGCTTCCTTAGAATCATCACTCAAATTATCAAAAATTAAATGAGGAAGTACAACAAGAAATACGTCAATGTGTCATACCTATAATCCGACAGAAAAGACATAATTCCCAACTCAAGAGCACTCAAGAGCAAAATGCATTGAAGATACTGAAGAATAGAAAAGATATAATTATTATACCGGCTGACAAGTGAAGAACAACAGTAATCATGGACACAGAAGACTACATAAAGAAAGCAAAGGATATACTCAAAGATAATAATGTATATCAACAGTTGACAAAAAAACCTATACAAACATTAGATAACAAAATCAGAACAACGTTAAATAAACTAACGAAATCAGGACAAATTACAAAACAAGATCAATGGCGAATGAAATCTAACGGACCTATTTTACCTCGATTTTACGGTAGACCAAAACTACACAAACCAAACATTCCCTTACGACCAATCGTTTCGCTTCCAGGAACACCAACATATAATCTATCTAAAGAACTTTTCAGCAAATTAAATTACCTAACAGAATCATGCGACCATTCTATCAATTCGTCAATCCAATTTTTAGAGAAAATCAAAAACATTCAAGTAGAAGACAATGAAATAATGGTGTCCTTTGATGTCACAGCATTATATACTTCAATTAGCCCAAAACTAGCGACAGACACGATGCAACAGTTACTCTATTGCGATGGAAACTCAAAAACTCAATGTTCAACTTGGATAGAACTCATGGAATTATATCCTACAACATACTTCCAACTCAATAATCAATTATACCAACGGATAAAAGGAACACCAATGGGATCGCCCAAATCAGGATTAATAGCTGAAGCCGTTATGCTACTAAGATTAGAATTAATAGCTCTATCTATAATTACACCCAAACTCTAGATACCTTATGTTGATGATACATTTGTAATAATTAAAAGAAATGTGATTTAGAATATACCGACAAATTAATAAACAACATATTTGAAGACATCAAATTGACCACGAGAGAAGAAGAATTAGATAACAAAATTCCCATTTTTAGATGTCTTAATCAGGAGAACTAACACAGGAAATTTAGAAACACAAGTGTATAGAAAATCAACGCACTCAGATCAAATACTCAACTATACTAGCAATAACCCAATTACGCACTCACAAAAGAAACTGTGTCCAGACATCGTTTGAAAGAATTCACACACATTATGGTGCTCTAGCGTTGAAGAGAATGGAAGAAAAATACCTACTAAATGTCTTCAAAAAGAATGGATATCCACAAAATCTCATCAAAAAGTGTTTAAAATCGAGTCACAACACCAACCAGAAACCATCACCAAAGAAAATCCACTCCACCATATATGATAAATATTTCTGAAATAACAGATAGGTTAGGGGACGTCGTCCAGTTCGTTGCTTACAGAGGCTGGTGTCCCTCAAGGCGCTGTCCTTTTTCCTTTTCTGTTTTCTTTCTTCTTGCATGACTTGCCTCACTCTGATGGAACGAACTTTGTTAAGTATACGGACGATCTGACTATTTCAATGTCTGTTAACTCCCAGCTTGACTGTACTAAGATAAACAGCTTTCTATCAAGAATTAGCAAATGGTCTTCGTCTAACGGCCTTAAACTAAATCCTTCCATTTGTCAGGCTGTTAATTTCAGTTTCCGATGTAAAAGAAAGTTAAATGAAGCTATTGGTTCCTATGACCGTTGAAAAATTGATGATAGTGATTTAGAAATCAAGTCTGGTGTTAAGTATCTTGGATCAATTTTTTCTACTGACCTATCCTGGTCTTCCCATGTCTTAGCGATTTCTAAAAGGATATTTTGTCTGACGTTTTACATTAAAAAGTTAAGGCACTCAGGCATAACTCAACCCCTCCTCTTACAGTTTGTCAACTCGTGTATCTTACCTGTTCTTCTTTATTGTTCCCCCTTAATCTTTCCTAGATTGCTTAAAATAGACTATGTCTTACTTCGTAGAACTCCGAAGACTGTCAGTATGGCGAGTGACATCCCATTGGGACATATCGTTGACATCGTCACTGATAGGCACTTGATGTCATGCAACAAATTTGCTAAAGGAATTTCGTCAGACTATGAGCATCGACTTTACTTAGCCGCAGCTACAGAAACTTCAAGCCACCAGCTTGAAGAAGCCCTATGTTCGAGTGGGGAACGTGAAGGAAAATAAAAATAACAAGGTGAAGAAGATGGAGTGGAATCTGAACCCGAGGGCATACAGGCTGGAAGTTGAGCCACATCCCCCACAGTAATTCATTCTGGTAATGTTAAGCGATTACATATCGTTTTAACAAAACATTTAGCTGGGGAAGAATAGACTTGATTACAAATAATATTGATCAAAAAGTATGAAATAGTTATTTTCGCTATTACTAAACTGTTAAAATAAAATAAATTTAAAAAAAAATACCTGAATATAGGACTGAACATCTGAGGGAAGATTTTTTATCCATTTATTTACAGCTAAAATTATACATATAAAAAGGAAAGAAAAATGTACAAGGAAATTCAGAGAAATATAATGACATAAAAGCGATTACACTTATAATACAAATGCATATAATAGCAAAACACCATAAACAACACTTAAATATTAGTCCACGTTGAAATTTCCTGAAGTTTCAGTGAGAAGTCGTGAGCGGTGGGATTCTCCGGGTACAGTTTGCAAACAGACACTCATGAATGGCACTGACAGGCTTTAGACCAGGTATTGATCATATCTTCACCATTCGACAGATTGTGGAACGTAGACATACTTACTGGCGTCTAACAGTTGCCATATTTCTTGATCTGACAGCGGAATTCAACTCCGTCGACAGAAAGGTACTACGACAGTGTTTGGTAGTGAAGGGAGTGCTATGAGGGTACATCGCACTAATTAGAGCACTGTGGTCGAACTCACACAGCCGTGTAAGAACCTACGAAGAGCTGTCGCCTGAAGTGTTGTCCGTCAAGGATGCCCACTGACCCCTTTCCTGTTTAATTTCATCATACATGTACTGATGGAATTAATCCCAACTGCTGACTTCATAGACTTATGGATTGAATTGTTACCAGGCAATAATCTCGTTGACCTAGAATATACAGGTGATATAGTCCTTCTAGGCGAAGGCGCTGATAAAATGCAGAGTTTTTTTAACACTTTGAGCAGCAATCTTCGAATATTTGGCATGCGATTTGCTCCTGTCAAATGCAAGATGATGTTCGAGGACTGGACTACATCAACTCTTAACTTGAAGATATGGAGTAAAGTGGTGACTGAGCGCGTTGACCACTTCACTTATTTGGGAAGTTACACCAACCCCAACGCACTGACTGATTGCTAAGATCTCACCATGGATACAAAAGGCTTGTGTGGGATTTGCCAACCTGCCTCATCTCCGGCGTAGACGTGATATTCAGCTGGCTATCGATCAAAAGACGTATGTACTGCTCAGCAGTTCGCTCCATCCTCCTTCATGGTTATCGGTGAGGCATGGCCATTGGCGGTGGAAGACATGAAAAGGCTGGCTAGATGTTTTCGATCATAGGTGTCTTAGTTTTATCTCCTATGTTAGTCGGTACAATAGGGTGAGTAATATTGAGGTTAGCATGGAAAATTTATCGATGGAGTTGTGAAGGTACACGTGTTGTGCATGCTTAGCCATCGTCTTACTCGACGAGGAAGGTTAACTCACATAGATAGAGTCAGTTGGGAAAACAGTTAGTTGTAGTTAAATGAAAATATGGTATCAGCCCATGAAATTTCTGAAGCTTGGTTTGAACCAGCTACGTAAGGAGGTGTATACTGCTTGTCTGGTTGAGGTCCTTAGTATGCTAAAATCGAATTGGTGATTCGGTTCAAAATTCTCGTTCTCAATGGTGCAGAGATGAATTAACTCTATATGATCTGCTATATCTGTTAAACCCTATTGGTCTATGCTGTTAGTCTTTTCTTCCTCATATATCCGCTTATTATAGTCCTTTCGAATCTCGGTTTTTATTTTCCACCCTTTGGTCTTCCTTTGTGTATTTCATGGAGTGAAGCAACTTGAACTGCTGCACTTCTCCGCAAAAGTTCTATGTTGAAACCAGTAGGTCGGTCGGTAGGTCAGTGAATGACTTTGACTGATGGTAGCCGTGTATATCACCCGTTGACAGAAGTTAGAGTTTGTGGGTCATTTAATTCCGTCCCAACGATCAAGTGGTTTGTCTTGTAACCTGAATGTGTTCTGAGTATGATCCCCAGTGGGGCTATGGGTTTGAATCACTGAAAGGGTACCAAACAGCTAGACGAAACAACAGCTGTCAAGGACTCCCTAGTTTTTAATGTCTCTCTATGTCAATGAAATCCACAACAGTTAGCTTAAGCCACGTAGGAAGATGTAGACTTCCTGGTTGGGGTCCTCGGGATGGTAAAAACCAATGGTTGGAAACAATTGGTGACATGGCTCAAAATCGTTCTAAGTGGCGCAGATGCATCCACTCCTTGTGACTTATGATTTCCAATTAAACTGTTTTGTTCTGCGTTATTACTATTCCTTTGTCTCACACCTCTGTTTACTGACTATATTATGCATTTCTTCTACTTTCTTCTCTTCCTTTGTGTGCTACGAGAAGGGAGTGTGGCGACTTGAACTTCCGCACATATGTGCAAAGTTCTATGTCGAAAACCGACCGACCTCTAAATTTTATGTACATTCAGGATGACATCTACTCTGATGAAATACACCTCCAAGATCCATAAAACACTTAAATCATTATTTCCCTCAGATATATATACAGATAATATAAACTGTAGGTATATTTGTAACTTACTATCAATAGTAAGAATCTTAATACCCAACTGGCGAGCTTTGAATAGCAAATCGGTATTTGAATTTGACCATTGACTACATCCCAGTGTGTTTGATGTGAGAGATGGTTGAGAGGACTGTACAATAGAAGACGTATCATTGGAGGCCTGAACCTAGATTTTGAATAAAAACGAAATACTAAATGAAAATACCCCAGAAGATTTCTATGTTGTAGGTTTTAAAATTTAATGGTCTACTATTCAAATCTATGTAAAAAAATGCATCCAACAAAAACACGCGAGCAAATATAAACTACTAAGGAAAATCCTTATATGACAGAAAGTGCCAAAGAGCACTTCCATTATTATCAGCATGCGAAACAGGTAATGATGTCCAAGATATCTGAAGAAGCAACCAGTTAGAGCTTCCGAGACTACCTCATTCGAACTGTGTAACCAGTAGGCTTCACCGTCCTACAGAAGTAGAATTTTGCGTGGAGGAGATTTATGCATAACACTCTACTCCTTGACTCCTAGTCTAGAGAAAGGGAGTGAAGTGGTGGCGCCTGTTGACCACCACTTCACTTATTTGGGAAGTTGCATCAGCCATGACCAACGGTTTGATTGCTGACGAAATCTCAGCACAGATACAGAAGGTCCGTTTGGTATATGCCAGTTTACACCATCTCTGACTTAGTAGACGTGAAATCCGGCTGGCTATCGACCAAAGGGCGTGTGTACTGCTGAGCAGTCCGCTTCGTCCTCCTTTATGGCTGTCGGTAAGACATGGCCATTGAAAGTGGAAGACATGAAAAGTCTGACTAGCTGTCTTTGGTCGTAGGTGCTTGCGCTCTATCTCCCATGTTAGGTAGTACCATAAAGTGAGCAATACTGAGGTTAGGCGTTGAATATTAAGTAAGGAGGAGAAAATCAATCGAAGAAGTTGTGAATTTACATCGAATGAGATTGTTGAGACATATGTTACACATGCATGTCTAGCCATCGCCTTCCTCATCGACGGGCAGTGTTAGCTGACCAACAGGATATATGAGGTTGGAAAAGAACCAGTGGTGGTCAAACACCAAAGCATGGCTTTATTAGTCAATGAAATCCATAACAGCCACGTAAGGAGGTGTAGACTTGTCGGTTGGTTGGGGTCTTCGGGATGGTGAGAACCAGTGGGTGGACACAAATAATTGGTGATAAGGCTCAAAATCCTGGTTCTCAGTGATGGCTGACGCAGATGCATTCACTCTTTATGATTCGCCATATCCAAAAAAACCATATGGTTCTTCCATTTCACTATTCTTTTTCTTTTCCCACTACCGTTAATTATTTCTTTGAAATCTCTCATTGCTCTCTTCTCTTGCTTTGAGTGTAGCAACTCGAACTGCTGCACATCTGTACGAAGTTCTACGTTAAAACCAGTCCAGTCAGTCAGACTCTACCCGAAATCCAGAGATATGTCAGCAGGCATTAAGAAGTTGTAAAATGTTTACTAGAACCTCCTTATTATCTAATCTAGTCCTCGTGTGTCGGTAGCACAGAGGTAGAATGCTCACCGACCATGCATGTGGTTCGGGGTTAGACCCCTGGCCATCAACACACTGCTTTACCTCGTTAAGCCAGTAACAAGACTGGTGAAGAGGGAAGGTTAGACATGAGGCTAGCAACCCTATCCCGTAAAAATAAACACCACTGCTTCCGAAACTTGAAGCCCTATGCTCAACTGGGAATATAAAGGAATAAAAAAACGATTTAGTCCTCAGACAATATTTAATGGACTCTTGTATGAGCCTAGATATCCAACCTGTATGTTCATCTACACAAATAATACTACGATCCTATCGAGAACAATTAGCTGATAGTAGAACTCACCTTTGGATGAGTCCGAGCTGAAATTCGCTAGTGTGCAAGAAAAATGACAAGAAGACATCATTTCTTTTTGCTAATTAATGTTTAGTTTAACTGAACCTCTTCACCTAACAACATGCTAACCAATTTTGAAGAAGACCAAGTCAAAGAGTCCACCGTCAGAGTCAATGATGATTATTGTGACATTGGAATCAGCTAGGCAGAATGACAATGCCAAAACATCCCTGATGAGCATACACACACAACACGTGACTTACACTTAATTCGTGGCAAAGTTATCCGGACCTCCTACGAAGGTCTTTAAGACTCTGTATACATGAACAGGAAGGTTTTCCAGAGTTATCGTCAAACTTGTCTGTCGAGGGATTTGCATCAAGGTGTAAAAATTTTGATAAGGTAGACAGTGCAATAGGAATCTTTGTGAAAGCAAATGCCTAGCGACTCAAAATACCACGGAGACAGATCTCAATACAAACAGACAACTGATTACAAAACACATTTCAGATGACTGTAATCTGCTAACTAACGAACTAACTACAATGATAAAAAAACTCCACGAAACAAAACGAGTTGGTGTTATCCTGAAAATATGTTCGTTCCTTTTTTATTCATACTAACAAAGGGAACCGGCTGAATGAAAAAACTAAGTTGTTACGAAGTAATATCACAGAAGCTGCCAAACTACCCCATTATGGATCCATAATGGAGTTACACTCTACCACAGTGCCCAAGTTTTATACTTATATCTGCCAAACTACCACCATGTATAATAGAGTGTCATACGTTACACGCCTGACTGAACTGTTTAGGAAAGTATCAGAATGTAGAAAAATCCCATCAATGTGCAATGCAATCATTATCGAACCCACCTTTAAAAAGTGCTTACACAGGGTATGTGACAGTTATTGAGGTATTGGTCTGTTACCAGTTGAGTCTAAAATACCGACTGGTGTCTAGCTCCTCAGGCTATATTGATCATGTGAGAAACTGATTCGCAAAAAGTAGGTTGGAAGTACTGACGTGTTTACTCTTCAACAGTTGCTAAAACAGTCACACATAAAAGCAGGCCAACAAACATGGTATATCTTGATACTCGAAGCTACCTTCGATTCATTGGACAGTCTGTAATAGAGAAAAGTTTCTAGGAGGCTTGTCAACTTTAACTGTAAAGTGAAGATCACGCCAGTGTACGCCAACCTGGAGCACCTTTTGCGGCATTGAGACGTTAGTCTGACCTTTGAAGGTCAAGTCTACAATGCTTCAGTGAGTGCAGTTTAGCACCGAGACCTTAAAACCCGGCATTTCCTAGCTAAGGATGCATGAGGACCCGACGTGTTCGATAACTGCTGCCTCCACAGAACTGTCTCCTACTGCTATACTGGACTACAGACATTGACATTTAACTATTACACAAATCATTACGAATAACGGGACATAACATTCGGAGGCGAAGTGCGATTCTGTAACCACTTGCATAATCTGCAATAAATAATAAGCCACAGGATGATTTGTGACTCAACAGACCTCGACTATAGGCGCGGGGTATGAAGCCGCTACCCACTGATGGACTTCGTGTAAGAGTAAAAAGGACGAAGAGCTTACCTGACTCAACACTGATGATGCTGTACGGCTCGAAGGAGTAGCACTTGAATCTTCAGTAGCGATTTTTCGGGCAGCAAGAAGCATAGCACGACCACGTGTCACGGGGTTGTTCACTGACTTACTTCCTGTAAGTACAGGGACTTTAAGACTGTTTGGCACTTGGGAAGTAGAATGTTGGTTTTGAAGTGAAATGGACTTTCTGAGGGGTGTACTTAGTGATTCCTCGCCTGAAGCTACTGATGTCAGCCGAGCGGACGGGCGATTTGTGATGACGTAGTGCACATCTCGGCTGAAAAACTCGACGACTTCCTAAATTCCAGCAAGGAGAGGAAAACAGCTATCAATTACCACACTCGTAACAACAAAATGTTTTCAACAAAATTTCTCTTTTTATCTTAGTTTTTCCGCTTCTGCTAAGATTAGCCGTGTACCTGCGACATCCTTCCCGTTGTAGTCCTATTACTAGGGTTATGTGAGGTTATGGTGTATTAATTTGAAGTTTCATGCTAATCAAATTAATAATTTCGGTATTTGACTTAAAAAAACTAGTTCAGCTGCTGGATGCCGAAACCATTACGACAAATTGTTCTTCTCCATGCACAATTCCCTAATTATAGCAGAAGGATTAGGCCGTATACATGTGGGGAAAAAATGCACAACTGAAGTATTAAGAAGGAGTGGATCTTCTTCACAACTTTGCTAAAAGCTTAACCGATATGGCAAATATCCCAGTGTTTCTTATAAGCGAATGAGTCAGCCGATAATTGGAAAACTACCATCCTCAAACTTCATACTTACACCTTTAAGTTTCTTTAACACGTGCTCCATTTGCTTGTCACGAAGTGTGCCAGATTCATAATGCATGAATAGCTTCTTTCCAAGAAGGGGAGCTAATCTGTTTTTCGGGGGTGAAAAGGCTTTACTTATTCTCTCCCCAAACATATTTTCGTCGATCAGGGAGCCATCAGATTTTAAATTTGATATTCCACTAGTTGACTGACTACTACCAAGTGGATGATCGCACTGGTGAACACATTCACCCATTCTTTCACAAATCAAAGTTGTCGCACACAATCGGCCTTGACCTTGAAACTGGCAAATCGGATCCCAATATTTGATATATTTTAACTGACTGATATAAGCCTACTTGATAACTTTTCACCTCTTTTTGGGTATCTGAGTATCATTTCATGACATTAGGTGAGTTTGCATTAGTCTGCTTGCACAGCACGGCGTGCAGACTTTGTAAAGGGAATTAATTTTTACACTTCCTTATACTTAGCTTTCGTTGTTTTGCACCACAATAACTTAGAAATGAACTTTAAATGAAGTTATTATTGGTGAAGTTAGTTTTCTTAACAGGTTTCGAGGTTACTTATTCATCGAGAGCATTCTTAACAGTTCGATTTCCCTGTATTTGTAGCTCCATAAAACTCTGGTTATCTTAATTGTGGCAATCCAGTTTTCAGATTCAAGTTTCAGACTTATTGGTTGAGGACAGAAGGTTTAGAGCCTATATTAATCCTTTTCTGGTAAATTTCTGTGCTTGTCAAAACCTTTCTTAAATGAATCAGTTGAGGCTGCAGACACCACTTCGTCTGGGAGTCATTTCCAAGAGTGTATGACTCTGTGTGAGAGCCAGTACTCAAAATCAGTATACTTACTCCTTGGCTTTTGAACTCTGCTGCTATGTCCTTTAGGTTGTTCCGACCTGGTGGGAAAGAAAAGAGAGCATAGGTTACGTCCGTAGTCATTATTTAAAATTTTAAACATTGTAATTAAATCTCCTCTCTCTCTACGGTATGACAGGGAGAAGAGATTAAAACTGTCCAGCCTTTTCTCATATGATAAATTAGTCATTCGAGGAATCATAAATGTTCCCTTCCTTTGAACCCTTTCTAGAATATGCAAGTCCCCTTTAAGACAAGGACTGGCTGCTTGGATACAGTTCTCTAGTCTTGAACTCACCAGGGATGTATATAAGGAGGTAAACATATCTCTGGTGATTCAATTAAAGTCTCTGCGAATCGCCTTTAAGGACCTGAAACTACATGCAACCACCGCTCGATGGTGTGCTGTAGTTTTTAAATCGTGACTCATTATTATTATTGTTTCCTTTAATTCCTAGAGGAACATAGGGCTTCAACCGTGCGTCTCCATTGCATTCGGTTCTATGCTAGAGTCTTAACCTGGCTCCAAGTCTGCCCATGCGTTTTCATCTCCTCTTCACATCACCTCCTCCATGTCACCCCACCTTCGCAGTGACGACCAACTCGCCGCTTCCCTTTCCGTTGGGTTCCACTCGAGCAATGGCTTGTCTAGTGATGTCACTTGATGGTTTCCTCAGAGTATGGCCAGCCAATCAATCTCCATTTCTTCCTGCCTATTTGTTTCACAATCGGCTCCTGGTTGGTTCGCTCATTGCCAGAGATCTCTGTTGCTGATCTTTTCTGGCCGGCCATCTGATCTTGAGTATTGAGCGAAGACAACTGTTGATGGAGGTCTGTAGTTTGTTTGAGATGCTCTTTATGACGCGCAGTGCAAGTCTCTGATCCGTATAGTAGCATTGACTTCACATTGGAGTTGAAAATCCGGATCTTATTCTCATTTTGATGTTGAGTGGTGTTGACCTCCACACAGACTTGAGAGTAGTGAGAGCTTGTCTTGCTTTTCGGATTCTTGCTTTGATATCCTCGTCAGTTCCGTCAGCCTGTAGTTGATGCTTCCCAGGATGTCAATGGAATCTGTCCTGTGTTCCTCTGATGCAGCCAGAGTTGATCTTGTGAGGAGTGACGAGTCCTGTGTAGAGACTTAGGAGAAGTAGTCTGCCATTGCTTCTGCTTTTTCTTGATCTTTTTCGATTGTGTCATTGTCAATAGTCAGGTTTTGGACACTACTGGATGTTTTATTCCTAAGGTTCATGTACGAAAAAATTTTCCTAGCTTGTGTCGTTGCATTTCGAGTCAGATGTGCTTCGAACTTCGTCCTTGATTGACGGATTTCTGCAGTAACTTTGTTCCCAGCAGTGTTGTTTAATTTCCTGATCTCAGGAGTCTCAAGTGTGGCGAACAGGTTCCAGCATTTGTGTTTACGTCTGAGTAAATTACGAATCACTCGGTTTATCCAAAAGAGGGGGCAATGTTTCCGACCTTTTGAGACAGACCAAGGGAGGAAAAGTCCAATTGTGTAAAGTTGTTTAAATTGGTTGAATGCGGCTTCTACTTGGGACACCGGGCTGGCTATTGAGACGGTCGCATTTATATCAGTTTTCCAAACGTTTGGTCAAGCTGGGGTTTCAGCCCATGATGCTGCTTCTGTGAGCTTCAAAGTGGACACAGAGTGATCACTTCTCCCTAAAGGAGGAAGATGTTGTATGAGATCCATATGCTCATCATGGGAAAACAATAGGTCCAGAATTAAGGAGGAGCGCTGTGAGTCATAGTGCGTGGGCTTAATGATATTTTGGACTGGGGCTAGCGATATACTAGATTCCAGCAGTTTATGACCAAAGGAGTTAACTGATGATGGAGTTGTAAGGATTGTCCAGTCGACTGTTGGGGCATTGAATTCGCCGACAACGAGACTCCGACATTTCGAAGTCCAGGAGCCCAGCTTCTCTGTTAGGAAGTCATCTGCATTGCAGTCAGGACTGCAGTAAATGGCAATGAGGTCAATATCTTGGCCCATGCATTTAAGTCTGCAGCGTAGCAGTTCGCACGATTCGCTTTCGTGAGCGAGTGCTCCGATACTACGCACGGCTGAGCATTTCTTGAGGTAGATGACTACGCCACCTCTTTTGCGGCTTAGTCGTTCCACCCCATGCATTTCAAAGTTTGGCGGGTTAACTTCGTAATCAGTGACATCGGGTGTGGACCATGTCTCTGTGGTGATAATTACATCCAGATTTCCGGGTTCTATCATATTACTCAGCTCAGTCCGTTTGTTCAACAGGCTGCTGGAATTTGTGTATCGAACTGTCATTTGAGTTTGGTGCTTCCACGGTCTACCCACAGAAGTTTTAAGGCTATCAAACTTCAAACTCTGGCAACCTGAAAACCCTTAACATTAAGGTATTCGCCGTTTCGGCTTAATTCGGCACGGACATATATGCCTGATCCTTTAGAAATTTGAGATTTGCTTAGAATAGCATCCCTCTCCTCTTTTCAGTTTAGTACGACTTTGAGGAGACGTTTAGGCTGACTGATCCTATATAAACTGTGTATGGTTGTGCCTGATACTGATTTTGGCAGTAGCTTATCTAAGAGGGGCTTGACCACGTAAAGGTCATGCTCGAACCTGCCCTTGGGATCGGAGGCCGGTGATTCTTTCACTTTGCGAAGAATGAGCGGGTCCCCTTTTTTGCTCTGCGCCCTAAGTGTCTTTCTGTTCTTTGTGGACAGTGTGGCTAATATGTTTTTCTTACCTCGCTTTTTGCGACAGACTACACTACGCCATTCATTGGCGTCCTCCTCGCTGATAGTAGTCGGTTGTATCTGCCTGCTATCCACCGGTGTGGACGAGGCTTGATCTGCAAGTCCCTGAGCGATTGGAACTGCAGGTACGCCAGGTACGCCTCTTCTTCTTGCCAGTCTTTCCATTGCTAACACTGGAGGGTTCCTCCGGTATCGTAGGAGCAGCATGATTGTCTGGAATATGGTGGGTGCTCTTCTGGGCTGAAGGGCACTCACTTCCTGACAGAGACGCATCTGGAACGTGTATTGCTTTGTCGATGATGCTAATCCCGCCATCGGTGTCGGATCAGTAGTCTCTCTTCTACTGTGGTGGAAAACCCTTGCAGTTCAGGAGCTTTAGAGCCCCGCTGAGAGTGGCAGTGGGTTCCGTTATACGAAACTTAGTCGTACTACACAGTCACTGAACAGCTAGTTCGCCAGAGGTTTGCAGCAGCGCTCGTATGCTGCAGGAGTTAGGTTTGTAAACATGCTATGAACCCACGCCTAACATGGTAGAACTTATAGTCTCCCTCATCTCAAATCTCACAAAGCCAGCTCCGCAGAACACGACACCAGCCGAAAGGCTAGTGAATTATAATCTCACTCCTAAATTGGCCCCTCCTCCCTCTACGATGGATCTGGGTGTGTCTCTGGACAGCCCTAAGACAGAAATCAATGCCTCTCGTAAGCCGACAACATCCTCGCATAGCCATAACGTGAGAGTTCAAATGGAATTCGCTAAAGATACATGCCGAAGTACGCCACCCCCCAAAAGACAATCCCCTACATTTTCAAACTCCTAAGAAGAATCCAGGTCGTAAGGTAAATAATATAAAAAATTATACTAACAACCACATCAAAAGCAGAAGTAAGGCCATGCGGTCCACGGATAATAACGATAGTACATGCTCGCATACCATGCCAAGTCACACTAAAGCCCACACTAATATCTGGTGTGGCAATACCATAACGCAAAATGGCACAAGTGGCAACACTCAAAGCCCAGCTCTTCAAAGTATAACACACAAGCAAACTTTGACAGAATAAACGGCACAAGTCTGCTGGGAATCAGACCACAGTGAAGAAATGAATATAATGAAACCCACGTAAGGATACATAGAATGTCCCTAAACATTAGGCAGATTAATAAGTTATTGGCATCACAAGATACCAATGAATTTTTATCCACCACATCCCTGTCAGCGCTAACCAAACAACTGATGGGGATGTTAACTCTTCTGAACCCGTACAACTAATGTCAGCTCCCCATCAGAAAGAAAGCGGACACGGCCTAGTGCACTCGGAATTATTAATCACATGGAATGCTTGTACAAACACAGGCCAAATGAGAATTCCTAACACAGTCTCCAACCTACCCAAGCCTAGACCTAACCCATCCTATAGTGAATCTAATAATAAAACTTGTCAATGTCCAGGTCTAACTACCCTAGACTTAACGCTGTTCTTAGAAGACTTTCAGAAACTATTGTCAATAACCAACGCGGAAAACCAGAACACAAATTGGCGATTTAAGAATCCTATATTCTTGCGCCAATACAGAACCAACCACAAGGTTATTGTACACAAAGTCTAAGGATAAATGTTATGACAATTAATCACAATAATACT